CCTTTTGAAGCAAAAATTTGAACGCGCGGCTCTATAAAATTATTCAGAATTGTAGTCTGTGAGCTCAAATCGGGCCATAATCACTGCAGGGGTACTCTATGCAGTTAATACCTCCATATAATATTCTCTTACAGTCATTACTTCTTTCAAGCACTGGAAAGACTTCAACACCTGGTTCCACAGTAGCCATTGAATTTTTACCTCAAAAAATTTCCATAACTCCCCTCCCAGAAGCGCTTTGCAGATATCGATGGCGTAGGAATCAGCGTTCCCTGCTCTGTAAGATAGTGTACATTTTTTCGTAGAGAAACGCCACTTTGACCAAGTATCCTTCCCTTTTTGAACCAGATAGTCAACAATTGCGTCTGTGTTTTCGGGCATGGGAAGATTGACAAAAAGGATCCGTAATCCGTAAGAATCCGCATAATGACAGCTTTTTTTCTATTCTTGCAACTTTCAATTTTTGAGTAGTCCAAAGAAAACAAGACCCGCGCGGTTATTGATAGCATACTTCTATGCATACAAGTGTGTTTAATTCTAAATCGATTCGCCCAACCGAGTGGATCCCTTATAAGTAAAATCATTAGGTTGATGTACTTCTTGCAACAAAAAATGAAAAAAATTCGTTTTAAGAATGCTTAAACAACTGATCGATCTACACAATATGCTCTTTGTTATGTATATTAAAGGTGGCGCTTATCATTTGAGTAAATGAATTTGAAGCAATATCAACAGAAAGACATTTGAGAAACGAAATTCATAAGTATTCGTAGAGACATCCGATCACTATCAACTTTCTTTAATCAAAAATAGTAGTTCATAAAACGAGGAATAAAAATCAATTTGAATTGCAGTAAGTTTCAGCAATTTTACTGAAAAAAATCGAAAAAACAGTTTTTTGTATTTCTCTTTCAACATATCGTTAGCTAATCAAGGTACTTTGGTTCAAGAATGCTCGGAAAGCGCAAGATTCCTTCTCTCTATTGTGTATCCAATCAGAGGATTTCAATAAAGCTGGAGATAGCAAGTTTCAAAAATTTTGGTGCAAGAATTATGCATCAACCTTAGAATGGTCAGGACTGCTTTTAGTACTTCTTTGCATCCCTGAGCGACGACTGAAGTGGGGGCGTAGAAGAATGCCGGGAGGATACGTAGCAGACGTGGCTCGCTCAAGCCCCTCCCCATATCGCATACGATCGTGATGAGAGTCCCGAAACGACTGTACTTCTCTCCTATTTTGAAAGCCCTGCTACATCTAACTAATCATTGTGCTCCACGCCACATTCGCAATTGGGCCCAGCTGAGTGGAATCTTTGCTCAATACCTTGCTGGGACACTAGCATGAAGAGAAGCTGTAAACGGTACTGATCAAAAATTCGTTGAGGGAGTTATAGATTTGATTAACATGTAATTACAACAATTATCCTTACTGACTAACATGGAGAAGTTTGACTGCGAACAGAGCAATCTCGCGGCTAAGATATACGTCACTGCTTTTCGAGGCCAGGTTTGTACCTCTTCTGTCAATGACAATCTCGTGGAAGATATTCGTTTTATTAGGTCGTTCCAAAAGTATTTTCGCTCTGTTTGAACTGCTGCCGCAATCCGCAAAACAAGAATTCACAAAAGGCCTTGGCAGCATTCGATGCATCATTTTATCCTCTTGCATGTCCCTTTCGTACTGCTGTGAATGAAATCTTAAAAGATCATCAAAAGCTGAAACCTGTGCTTTTTGCCATGCTCAGTTGCACTATTTTTCTAAATTTTTATATTGTTTTCCGAAGGTCTAAGTAACGGGTGAAAGAGCAAACTTTATAGCATACGCAACAATTTTTTTCCTTTCCCCATAGCTCGTTATAAATTTTTGATAAAATTTTCAAAGAGCTATGGGGCTTTTTTTTTCATTTTCCACCGAGTTTAAGCATTTCCATCTCAGACACAAACGCCTCAAACACTAGTGTATTATCGAAATTTTGAATTTCGAGAAATGAGTTATGATTTACCATTGATCTAGCAAACCAAGTGAACGTTTACGGATTCAAAACAAAAGATTTCGGATTTTCCGGGTTCAGCCTGAGATGCGTTCAAAAACATGAAATATGTAGATCTTAGTCATAATACTTTTTAGAAAAAGGAGAAAGTGATAACCCCGACTTGCTCGCCGGTTGAAGTTCTGTAATTATTGGAATGACCAAAGAACTTTGTTAGCACTTTGATAGAAATAGGCCCGTAGGTAGACTGTTCAAGACTGTTCAGCGCACTCGGCTGGGAGAGCGCCTACTTGAACGTAGAGCACCTCAGTCCGGCATCCGATGAGCTATATATCTGGATGCAGATGCTTTTTCGACTAGACATCTTGTGCGTTCTCAAAAAGTAAACCCCTGGGCAGTTTGGTCGAATGACTGACAGTGAATGGGTCTCAACGCACCATGGTTCGAAGCCAGTTTGTGGAATCTAGCCGGCTAGATTTTTGCGTCCGGACAATCTTTGATAGCGCTCACTACCGAGAATGGCGACAGCTAACAAGGAATCGTCAAGCAAATAAATGGATAAAAGAAAAAAATCTTATTTTGACGATATATATCGAGGATATCATGATACAGTGCTGGACATAATTATAGGGACACTCTAAAAATCGTCGTAATTTTCGTTCTTGTCAGTGAATCTGTCTAAAACTTTGCTGTATGGTGCGCATGTAAGCCTACCATAACTTCTCAGAACGGCTTCCAATCCCGTTGATTCCGAACGGAGAAAAATGGAAAAATTCGAAAAAGCCTGTTTTGCAAGCTGGACTTAATTATAAGGACACGGCCTTTTTAAACATTATCGCATTCTTTGACTCCCAGATTTTTTTGTAGAGTTACATCCCAAAATATGAAACTTTTGCAGCACCTAAGACCTGTCATGCTACTCAAGGAAAGATGATCCTTGCATTTTTCGTTTCCAAAGGCATCAGAAGTCAAACTGCGTCAACAAACAGCTGGTTTGAGGAGTTTTCAAGCCCGCGTTCATTTCAAATGACAGTCCTGGAATAGACTTAGCCTTTTTGATAGATAAGGTGAAGAGCGCTTTCGTAAACTCCGCGTAATCGCTGATTTTGACGGACAGACTCCAACCTCAACATAGGATTGTCGCGCTTTTAAACCACAAAACTCACTTTCCAATGTTCGTGAAATGATGGACTCGATTTATTATATTGTCTACATGGAGACGCAGCTTTTGCAACAACTTTCAGATTTTTTCTAGTGCTGCAGTTGGCATTTAGATTTGAAATATAATACTTTCCGCGAAATTTCTCTGCGAGCAGTAGATTCAACACAATCACAAATCTCACTATATCCTTCTCTGTTTCATGTCGCATTTTACGCGGTAGGTAAGATTAGTTAAGATTTTGAAGTTTCAAGCGCTCTCATGTTCGATTTCTTGATTTGAGTTGGATATGATTGTGCAGGGTGCTCCACTCAACTCTCAACGGATGACAACTGCGGCTGAACCAGAATGTGCAACCCCGAAATTTTTTCCTGACTAGGCACACAAGTTTATTGTTGTACGTGCATTGTTGCGGCTACATTGCAGCGTTTTCTGTAATTTGAAAATCGAGTTTTGTGGTTTAAAAGCGCGACAATCCTATGTTGAGGTTGGAGTCTGTCCGTCAAAATCAGCGATTACGCGGAGTTTACGAAAGCGCTCTTCACTTTATCTATCAAAAGGCTAAGTCTATTCCAAGACTGTCATTTGAAATGAACGCGGGCTTGAAAACTCCTCAAACCAGCTGTTTGTTGACGCAGCTTGACTTCTGATGCCTTTGGAAACGAAAAATGCAAGAATCATCTTTCCTTGAGTAGCATGACAGGTCTTAGGTGCTGCAAAAGTTTCATATTCTGGGATGTAACTCTACAAAAAATCTGGGAGTCAAGGAATGCGATAATGTTTGAAAAGGCCAGGTGTCCTTATAATTATGTCCAGCTTGCAAAACAGGCTTTTTCGAATTTTTCCATTTTTCTCCGTTCGGAATCAACGGAATTGGAAGCCGTTCTGAGGAGTTATGGGAGGCTTACATGCGCACCATACAGCAAAGTTTCAGACAGATTCACTGACAAGAACGAAAATTACGACGATTCCTAGAGTGTCCCTATAATTATGTCCAGCACTGTATAACGAGAATGTTGAAACATAAAGCAAATATAAAAATGAAGAAATCCTTGTTTCAAGTAGTTTTTGCCACAAAACGTAAGCAAGCTCCGAAAAAAAGAAGAAATCTGTTTTCTTGCTTTTCTCGCCACAATCAGCTGCTCTTTGATCCTTTCCGATTTAAGCCGCCGAAATTGCATAATTTCCGGAGCTTTGCACCGCAGCAGTAGGTCAGCTGAATGTGCCGTAAGTTACTCACAATAGTTTACGGGAAACTCGTCTGATTCTCCTCTTTTGCACACTATCTCCCTCATGTCACTTTAAAATTCACCCTCACCTAAGTGGCATTCTGTTAAATTGACTGTGACACTTGATCGAACAGTCTCCTGACTGTTCAACTAACTATCTTGAAGCAAGGAAAGATGGGCGGATTATTTTCACCAGAGGAAGTTCTTCTGAATGACTCATCTCCAGCTGAGATGAATAGAGGTTTACTACGGACCATAATTTCGTAAATTATGAAAAGCAAGCTATGGAAGGGAAATAAGTTGTTTTGTATCCTGTAGGGTTTGCTCTATCCACTTCTTCGGTGACTCGGTAAGAAAATAGCGAAACTGATCATGGCAAAAAGCATGTATTTTAGATGGTGGTTTTTAGGAGCTCTCTCATTGCACTGCAACAGATACATGACCATTCAGAAGCATGAAAGCATCAAATGCCAGAGAGTTCCTCTTTCAAACTTTATTCTGCCAGTTGTGGCAGCAGGTTAAAAAGCGACGTAATATATAATTATGAGATTCTATGCGGTAAATAGTAAATATTAACATTACAAAGTTTATTTTCTTAAACATTTTGCGTATAAGAAATTGAATCCGATGAAATTGACATTGCTTTCAGTGCATTTAAAACCAAATCGCTTTAGGTCATAGGTGAACACAAGGCTTATTAGAACACCAGTCGGTTGTAGTCTCTTGTGAAATTATCTAGATATGGTTTCCACCTGGCGTCAAGTAGCTGACTCTCTTGGAAGTAATTCAAAAGCACTTGATGAACGAATAAATACTGTTGGTCCGTCTATAATAAGTGCAATTTGTTTCCCTGTTGCTACAAAAGATCTCACCTGAATAGTGTTTGCTCTTTGAGATCTCAACTTGAGCAATAACTTATCGCTTTCCTCTATCGGTTGATTGAGCGAAAGTGATTCTAGAATATGTTGTATCATTACAAATGATCCAGTTCTTCCTACGCCAGCGGAACAGTGTACGACAATGGGAGCTCTGAAGCATGCAAGCTGGATGCACAAATTGACTGAAAACATGATTTCCATTGGCTCACTGCGTGCTCTTTATTATATCAAGAACTTGAATTATAGCAGAATCTGCGGGTGGTACCCCACGATCTGGCCAATCTATCCATTGAAGGTGTTTCGTTTTGTACCTCTAAACATGAGTGGTAATCATTTCATGAATAATTCTTAGTGACCCAAAGCTCACTCTTCCATTTCTTTCCACCGCAAGTGCCGTAATCCGAACTTGAGCATTGGTGGTACATAGAAATCTCACCTGAAGGCAAAAAAAAAAACCTCAAAAGATTTAACACTAATTGAATCAATATTATTCTCTTGAGCTCTTTCTGCTCATACTCTCACTCTGATTTAAAATCAATTTTTTTCCTGTTTTTTGGTCTCTTTCTTGCGTTTGTTTTGAACATCTTCTAACCTTAAGGAATAGCTCAATGCGCGGCAGTAGAAGCGCTAGCTCTTGCAGCTGCAATCAAAGAATACGCAACGCAAATAGCCCTCAGAACATACCGCAAAGGAATGCGGCGCAGCTTTGCTCCATATTCTCCTCCCCCCCCCCATTCAGTTTCGGTCCCATCGCGTTTCCGCCTACGTTCATGGGAGTGCCATTCTCAACATCCAGCATTCAAATTTTAAAGCAATTTTCTTTCATTAAAATACAGTACAGCCTTTGCAGCTGGTTGGGCAATCACTTACAAGATATGCCACCTTCAGTCGAAGTGACTCTTCGAGATGAGATATATGTTGCTGGAGTCAGTAAGGAATATGATATCAAAATTGTAATTCCTATCTTCGGAAATTCTCTTTGGAAAACTCACAAATTCCACCTTGTGGAGCAATACTTGGTGTATAGGTAAGTACTGCAAAAAGTGCTATTATGATAAAACTGTGAAGGAATTGAACTTCCGGTTTCGGCTGGGTGCCTAGCCAAGAGAAGCACGGGCCAGATTCCCGGCCGTCTGCCTTCTCTGATCGCTGGGCAAATCCGCTGCACACGAGTTAGTGATCGCCCATGGAAATCAAGAGCTGGTCTAATAAGTCTGCTCTTGCAGTGAAAAATTTTCCCACTCAATCAGCAAAAAGAATGGAAAAAACTCTGCACATTAGATCCTGACTACGGCGTCGGGTGGTAACAAGAACGACAGGGTCTTCAGGGCGCCTTTTGGATCGGACGGCACGCCATGGACTGCCTCATGCTCGATCTTTTCAAAAGCCGATCGTAGTCGCACGTTGGATCATCCTCGTTGGGCCAGTCACAATTTGATATGATCTCTTCCAGCTTGTAACCGCCATAAACGACAATCTTTTTTTGCGATACTGTGGCAGACCTTCTTTTCCAGCTTTCGACTGAATCGTATCTCGGCTCAAAGAAGACGCTGTTTGGAGCCACTGCAGAAGGATAAAACTAATGAGACGTCGAGAGAGCTCCATCTTTGAATAGTGAGAATATGATCGATCTCCGTGCGGGCCTTTTCTCTGAACGATTCCCATTTCCATCGGGAATGTTCTCTCTTCATGAGAATAGAATTTCCATGGAAAAGTCGTGCGGCGGCGAAAAGCACAACGAAACAGTTGCCGTTTTCGATCCGGATCCATATTCAAATCCCGATCCTATATCCCTTTCTCGACGGCATTACGATCTTCGGTTGAAGTCGCCCACAACAAACTTATGGAAGGACTTTTCATTGAGGTCACGTCCAGGGTCAAGCGTGTGATGCGACTGTCGCAACGGGGTGTCGTAAAGGGGGCCTGCGGTGAGGGGGGGGGGGGTCGTAAGAGGGGGTAGTTTGGATAAAAAACCGTACGATTGAAAGCAAATCATATAGCAAGTAATTATGACATGTTCTTAACAATAACTGCATGGAATGTATCAAATAAAAACGAGTGTACAATAATTTGAAACATTTGCAAGCGTAGAATATCGCTTCACTTGCTGCACTTTTGAAAGATTATGACTTAGTTTTTTTTATGGGAATCGCTATTTCTCCCGCAAAATATTGTCTCAAATGGGGATCGAACCCAGCTGGCATGACTAAAGTCCAAAAAATAAACACTTTCAGAAGCTCAAATGCTACTAAAGGCATGTATGTGTGATAAAGATGTTGGATGTACCTATTGGTGTAGACATCCTGCTTCCGAAGACTCACTGAAGACTCGCACACTCGACAAAAGCGCACATATAGATCAAGGATGAAAATCAATAATTCGTAAATCTTTTTGTAATGCCATTTATGCAGCCCTTACAATTTATATGTACTTTAGATGAACCCTGCTACTGCTGTGCGAAATCTGGTGTTATTTTATAAACTGCGGATTTTCTTATGATTTTATGTATGGTAGAAAAAAAAGAGAAAAGGGGGTCGTATCTGCGCCTGATCTATATTTCTCCGGAGCTATTAAAGCTTGTTAGCTGCAAACTTGCTGTAATACGAGGCCATCCCTCTAGTTTTTATCATAAGAATCTCAGGCTGTTTTATGACTTCTCTGGTAAGTTACAAAATTCTAAGCTCAAAAATCCCAGTTTTTGTTTTTTAGGATCGCATCTAAATTTGCGAGAGCCTGATCTAAAATTTTTCGGGCTCACTGCTCCTCAAAGGCTGAAACTTTTTCTATGAATAGTCTGGTCACTATACTATAAGAACCTGTGCTTTGCAGCCTCTCGGTCTTTTCCTGGCCTTAGTTACGAATTTCCAAACTACCGTGCTCATGCATGTTTTTGACGTCGTTCTGGACGGCGCTAAAGCGGTTTTTTTCGCAAGAAAAACTGTGAAAGAGGCAGGAACTAAGCTTCTTAGTCGAAAACATCTTTTGTAGTTCAAGAATGTCATTTTGTTTTTCCTGTAAAAATTTGTGTCGCATACGGGAATCGAATTTGCTGGCCTGAAGTGCACCTGAAAATTCAAAAGTAAACTTGCAGAATCTCAAACATTATTGAAGGTGTGTATATGTGCTAGAGATGCTGGGCGCACCCACTGGCCTAGAAATTCTGCTTCGAAACCTCACTGAAGTTCTCACGCAGGTGTTTTTTGGGATTGACATTCGTTTATGCAGGTTACCGCGAGAAATGTGGGCAGAGGAGGTAAGGAGGATAGATGGGGGAGGGCAAGGGGTCGTACGGATGGGTACCTTCAAGGGGGGGGGTCGTAAATGAGGGTCCAAGATCGCATCAACACGCTTGACCCTGGTCACGTCCTCCATGTTTCGTAAAAAGCATGTAGTTTTGATTCGCCAGCTGTTGATGTTGGTGAGTAGCAGTTGATGATGCTAATGGCCTTCTAACGTAGAGGTCGTAGCATAGGATGGTTGATCGATGTCATAAGATCTCATGCGAATAGACAAGATGTACAATAGATGGGTGGACGACAAAGCCAACGCCTCCAACGTTTGGTGGTGGAACTTTCTCACCGCGAATGATCAGAGTACGCGAGCGTGCGGAAAGTGCGCCGCAGTGACTTCCGAAGAGAACTTGGAACGCATCTCGAAGACAACCCAGGAGTTACTCAAAATAAGAAGATCCCTGAGGCAAGATGCAAATGCAACTCATCTCGAGTGACTGATAGCCAATGCCAGTTGCAGAATAGCATTGTAGGAGGATCCTGGGTAGCCAAGTTGGAAGTGGCCAAAGGAAGACGAATTCTCAAGAGTGCCGAAGGGACCTCTCTGAATGTCAGGTGTCGCTTGCTGCACTATTGAAGGCATCGTCTAGATGATCGTAATTTTGGGGCCCTAACTAAGCCATTGCCCAAGCGGCATCTCAGGTAGTCTAACCCGCACCCTTTTTCCAGTGCTCTAACGGCTGAGACATTCGCCTCGAAAGTGGACCCGAGGATCGCATTTCGCATGGTTTCATGGCGCAATCCGTGGTTCGGTCCTCGCGCGGGATTGATATCGCTAATATCTCAGCCCTTAGCGCACTATCTGAACTGCCGGTTGGGCAGTAGCTTAGTCAGGGCCACAAAAATTACTATTTACGTGAGAGCCCCATAATCCAGATTTGCCTGGACGCTGCTTTCAAACGAAGACGGCCCCAACTTCTTTCTAAATCTATTGCGAAGAATTTCTACACCAATCTCTTCCGCTCATCAACACTCGTACTGACGCCCGTCGTTATCGCTGCAGAAGACCACCAAGGATTCTACCTGCTGAGCGCACCGCGATCCAAACCTCCAAACCATGAAAAGTCCAAGGCTCCAAGACCAGATTATATTCCAGAGGGGATATAATCTGGTCCTGGAGCCTTGGACTCTTCATGAACTGCTGTGAGTCGGCTAACATTTCACCTTCAGAAGAGGATTTCCGACTAGTGGAGAATGTCAAGAATCTCTTTCTTCAAGAAAACGGAAAAACTTTCGGAGTTACCGTCTAATATGTCTGCTGAGCGTGTTGTACAAACTTTCCACGAAGATTATCCTCGATCGCATATCTAAGGGTTGGGCCAGACTTCGCTGGGAAAGCGGCGTACGCGGCGGCGTACGCAGTGTACGCTTGGTATATTTCATCATAGAAGCGTACGCGGCGTACGCTGCGTACGCCGCGTTTCCAGCGCATTCTGGCCCAACTCTAAGACACTAGATGAGGTTCGCAATTCTTTCAGAAACCAGTCGGTCGTTTGTAGAGTCCTCCTTAATGGGCCAGTCACAACATGATGTGAGCTTTTGCAGCCTGACCGTCATAAACTACTTTCTTTCTTCTGGCGACACTTTGGCAGACTTTTTTTTTCAGATTTCGACTGAGTCGAGCCTTCGCTTGAGAAGGGCGGTGATTTTAGCCGTGCAGAAAGATGGAACTACTGAGAAGTCGAGCAAGCTCCACCTTTTTTGTTGAGGATGTGCTCGATCTGCTTGTCAGTAGTTCCAATGGGCAATTTCCATGTGCACTGGCGATGTTCTTTCTTCCCAAACATGAATTTCTATGGAATAGTCGTGAGGCGGAGGGAAGCACACGAGACGGCTGCCGTTTTCGTTCCGGAGCCCATGTTCAAACTTCCCGATCCTTATTTCTCTTTTAGTGGTATCCCGATTTCGCGATGCTATAGCCCGCAAAAAAATTGTAGAAGGACTCTTCACTGCGGTCGACCTCCTCCATGTCTTCATAGAAAACATCTAATTCTGAATCGTCAGCTGCTGATGTTGGTGAGTAGCAGTTGATGATGCTGGTGGTATTCTAACCTAAAGGTCATAGTCGTTGGTAGAGGTGACAGATTCTCATGCGAAATGACGAGATGGACCATAGATGGATGAACAAAGCCAACGCTTCCAATGATCTAACTCAACATGAATGGTGAGGGTCCCATCACTTATCTGTCGCACGTCCTTCTTCTAAACTCGTTCCCCCATAGCGATGACGTGCTACTTGATGTGCTCTGCAGCTCAAGAAGAGCGTGCAGGTCGGCTTTATGAAGACTGTCCTGGCGTTATAGGTGCAGAGTTACCACCCAGGCATCTACCTGCTGAAGTGCGCACTGCGATTCAGACATGTAGACGTCCACGGCTCCAAGACCGGGAGTCTGTATGTCCAAATTTGCAATTTACATTGGATTCATCATTTTATGCGCATCCGATGGTATGCAGCTTGTGCTATTGGCCACTTTGGTTTCTGTTCTGTTGTTAGTGAAAAAATGTGAAATCACTTCTGGGATGACCAAATATCTCAAAATGGTGCAGAACATTTGCTTTCTTTGTAAAAAAAGCTTTGCAGATCAAAACCTATTGAATATTCATGCAAACAGCCTTACCATAGTGGAACCCATATATGTTACTGTTATATCATCAAATTGTAATGAGCCCTGAGTTGGATAATATGGAAAACATTTTCTTGCCCCCTGAAAAGGAAACTGAGGTAAGTTATTAATGTCATTAATAGAAACCTTCTCGAAGAAGTTGCAAAGCATTACAATAAATTCTACTCGATCTTGTATGCACATTAACCAGAAATCTTTACATGTCTTTTCCAGTGGAGCCTGATAGATGCATTTCTAGATTTGGCGCACTCTAAGAGCCAAACTTACTTGTGTACAAATAAACCTCCGCGAGCAAGTAGGCGTTGACACGTAATTGGCGTGCACATAATCCTCATCCTCGGGACAGTTTAACAGTTTCACTCTGGACGCATCTAAGCAGCCGACATCCTGGAACATGCAGTATACACCTTAAAAACATTCATAGTTGAGTTTTCTAAGTATGGAACAGTCAATTTACAGATGGTGCATTTATCATCAGTTATTTAAGACCCTGAGCTATCAGTCTGCGTAGTGGGAGGCGACGATAATACAATGTGAAATGATTACTTGGAAGCATCTACGTATACGCTGAGCATATAACTTTTTTGGGTTACATCACGTCCTCGCAATTCGCTTCAAGCTGGAATAATTAGCACGCTAAGATTCTGTGAAACATTGTTTCAATGAGTAAGAGTTAGAAAAGTGTGTATGGTTGATTATTTTCAAGACTGGGCTCTGCTACTTCCTGTCGCTAATGGCTGACTAGCTAAAGCATCTCTGCAAAATGAATGTGTTGAGCTTTTCCAATACTGTGCAGAAAATGAAAACTGCGATGCCATTCAAGCTTTAGATTCAAGTACAGGGCTTATCAAATGCAGTGTCGAGTGCTGCAGCTCTCCGCTCCCGCACAACCGCCTCGCCTGGATCTGCGCTCCTTTCGCTCTCTGATCACTTTCCCACCGCGAGCGTGGGAAAGTCTCAATCAATTGCAAGTGTTTGTAGAGCATATTCGCGGAAGCGATGCAGAGTCCCGCGCGGGAGCGGAGATGCTTGTGCACCCGACACTGCGATTGATAAGTCCTGTATGTGATTAACAGTTTTTAGAGAAATGCTCGAAGCAGGCGTATATTTATTTGTACTAGCTCTGGTCAATTGTCTAATTAAGGGTCGCTATCTACTATTTGAAACTATTTGAAGTTTGAAAGGCAGTGTCCGGGCAAAAAGTCGATTTTGAAATTTTTGCTTATCCGATTCTATTCACTATGCTGAATCCGAAAATCTGTACTAGAAAACGGGAAAGCGGCGAAAAAGGGCTCTAACGCAGTAGGAAAGAAAGTCAGCGGTGGGTGAGGTATTCCACTCTGCGAAGTCACCCCTCCCTCCAGCACCCGGAGCGATCTTCTCGGTTCCGGCTTCCACACGTTCGCGCTTATCCGATGGCAATGTTAGAGCCGGGCATTTCAAGCGATTTCATAGCTCGCGTTTCTTTCAGCCAGCACTGTTACGACCTCATTCTCGGGCACTTGCACCGGCCGGCGACCGCGCAAAGAGCGGTGTGGGGGGGGGGGGGTGCTAATTTCACTCAGTCTTGAAGGGTTCGATCACCGACCGGTACAAGAGCGACCGCCGGCCGGAAAGGCACGGTCGCCAGCCGTATGTGGGAGTAGCGCTTCAAAATGGTATGGGGCGTTGCTCTTTTCGTCCTTCGGTTGCGCGACCACCGGACGGTACAGAAATGATTTTAGCTACGGACTGCTAATGGAGCACACTTGCTACTGTTTTGTAGTCATCTGCTTTTATCCCATTTTTCATTGTCTTATCGTTATTTTGGTGCACAACTCCTCTACACTAAATTAATGGATCTATAAGATAATTATAAAAAACATGAAAGTTTGCCCTTAGTATAGCAAAATATAGAACAACCATTGCGTCAGGCTCCCGCCAGAGTGCCGAAGCCATGTCAGCGCTACGCCAGCGCTGAGCCAGCGTTTCGATCGATACACGTGTATCTCGTTGGGGCGGGGCTAGCTGAGCTAGTTCTCAGCAGGTAGATGTCCCCAACGAAATACACGTGTATCGATCGAAACGCTGGCTCGGCGCTGGCGTAGCGCTGGCATGGCTTCGGCACTCTGGCGGAAGCCTCACCTCCGCTTCGCGGAGGTTTGCGCTGGCTCGCTATCCGTATGCTCTTCTCATGCTTCCATAATGATGAACATGAAACTCACCACGCGAGGCTGTACATCACAAATGAAATGTAAACAACTGTTTATTCTTAAAGCTCTCCATTTGCATCGAAAAAACACATTCATTTGTGCATTTTTTGTCACTCACCTTGTACCGATTCTTTCCTTTAGGATTCATTTGCACAAATTTTCGCATAAGTGCCAAGTTGTTCACTCTAAAAATGATTTTACTTTGATTGAATCAGTTCAGTCGAACGATGCAGCTTATTAAGTAAGAAGACAAATATCAATAGTAGGGGAAACATTAGGGGAAACACAGAATGATCTGGAACACTAAACCGACCTCTTCATGGATAGGAATTCTGTTCGTAGTCCACGTGCCCCTTTTTCCATTATTCTCCGCACAAAGCGGTATACCTGGATGGAAAGATTTCACAGCTTAAGTCGATGTGAACTCAGGTTCGGTCACAACCGCTGAGACTACTGTTGCGGTTGTTACTGCTGTTAGCGATCAAAGGTAAGGTCTCATTTCTCCATACTTGTTCATAGCAGTTGTTCGGAATAACTACAACAGCACTGCAGTTAACCGTAACAACGGTAACAGCGGTTGTGTATGGCCGAAATCCCAAACAAACTCACTAATACTTTTTCCTTTGATGCGCTTTTAGTTCCTGGCGTTGCGGTTTTGACAGCTGATCTAAAAATGGGAAGGTGAAGCGGCATAGTTAGAATGGCCCCATAGTGATTCAGAAAAGATGAAAAATGGTGCACTTGGAGCTTTTATCCGTTATCGTAACATCTTCTGCCAAGGACATAGTGCGCGTCGACCGCATCGATCGTTGTGACCTGCTCAGTCGCATAGACAGGCTAGTTCTGTCTCTCCCAAACTTTTTTCTTGATCCTAGCAATGCATTGTTTTGCATTTTCACCACAATGTAACAGTTCGGGCACCTCGAAACATTGCTGCCGAACTGTGGAACTGCTTGCTAGCAAAATGAACATCATAGAAGTTAGCAACCATTGCAGTGTTTATGAGAGTGTGATAAGGATTCACAAATGGAATCTTTTCAGACAATATGTTGTAAGTCTGAAAATATTCTATTTTGCAAAATCCTGACGTCGCAATGAGGGTTACGGTAGCCCAGGGGTAAAGGGGAAAATTATGGATTATCATAACTTTAGCTAAAACTTTGCGTAAGTGGGTCATCTGACATGCTGATCGCGAAAACGATATTGGTTTCGCATGGTAGGGGCTTTTCTGTAAGGTTACAGTAGGTTACGGTATGAACCTCTCGCTAACCAAGAAAAAAGAGGCGTTAATGGTAGGGCAAATAACCCCACCATGAAAGGTTTCGGCGAATTCTGAGACTTTGACTTCTAAGTGATTGACGCTTATTCTCTAGAAGCTTGGAGTACAGCGGCTCGCTCAACTTTGTGTGGGCGCCAAATCTTGAGTTGTCTTCGAATTCCATTTCTTTACTGCACGAGATGAGCCAGTCTTTACCAACAATTTGTTACACACTTTAGGATTGTTGAGCATGATCTAGGTTACAATCGACTTCATTTTCCATCAAAACTCCATAAATTCTCGAATTCTACCAGTTTTTTATGTCGTTTTTATAAGTGTTTCGATAATAAACTTATCGTTATGATGCTTGCATTAATAATGATTCTACCATTATAATGCTACTTTAATGTAAAAATGTGAATTATATCACTGGATTGATATTTGTATCCTACTAGGCACGTACAACGCTTTGAGGGAGCGGGTGAGCAGCGCCCTTCGGCAAGCGAGCGGTGTACCTTCATCCTACGGGCGGCATAAGGCATGAGCGCTCTCAAAGTGAAGGCGAACGCGTCGTAGAAAAAAGTGTCTGAGTCATTCTTGAGAGTACACTTTTGCATGCAAACTTCTGAAATTTGGATTCGGCATAATCGAGCATCTATTCAGGCATTTGCAATAATGATGTAAGCGCGATTCGTAGAAGACAATTAAAGAAATCAAGCGTTTGCTTATTCTCGATTGATTTGATGAAGAAATGAACAAGTATACTGCAGCGGATAGCAGGTACTCTGTCGAAACTTCAAGAGTATAGGATTCGATTTTTTTCACATTGTTGAGGTCAAGAAAGAGGTATTGCATAAATTCAGGTATCACAGTATCTATCCCTAGATGATGTCTCCCCAACTCTTTCGTCCTTTACAAATGCATGTAAAAGAAAAAGTCTCATACTTCTGAGCATTGCTCGATGGAAGAAGAAACAGATTCTCCGAAAAAACCTCAGACCTTGAGTTCTCAGGTATAGTGTGGACCCCGGCCAGCTTCCTATAGGTACCTGCGCGACGCATCCGCAACGCACGCCTTCAGCGCGCCCCCTGTCGACGGAACTCCTTGCTTTTCTCTCATTTTCTTGTTTTTGTTTTACTATATTCCCTCTATTTCAGGTATAAACAATTCGCATAACCGGTGACGAGGTTTCACGTGCTCTACTAGGCGTGAGAGCTTCGGTCTTGAGTACTAGTCTTGCGTTTTTCCCTTTTTTTTTCTGAGAGATTGAGATTTAAGGTATATTCTAAGAGAATATTCCTCCAAAAGCTTTTTATATAAAAAGAGTCCCTCTCGACTTGATTTCTAGAGTGTAGACAGTGTATCAAGTCAAATCAAGCCTTTCGAGAAGCCGGTAGGGATTTGTTTACGGAAATATCCACATTTTTTGAGTTATTTTACCATTCTATTAATAGTTTTAAGTTTACGAAGAGAAACGTTTTGAGAATGCGGTTGTTCTTTTTCTGCTCTACGTTTACTTATTACCGCTTTTCCATCGGTGCAAGTCTGAAATTTGCAGCCATTGATTGAACTCGAGGTACTAATGGAGATTGCGTGCGTTTTATTCTTGTATACGTTTCTTTCGAAGTGTATTTACGGATTCCCACTTCTCAATTCCTCTTCTATGGTGCGTAGATGTGCTGTATTGCTCATAAGTGAGGTGAGAAGCATCAAGAAATGCACGCGCTGCGGTTGCGCCGCGGAGGTACCTATGGGAAACTGGCCGGGGTCCACACTATAGAAATATAGCAGATTGTTGATAGTTAGATTTCACTGACTACCGGTAGATGCAATGCGAGTTCTTGGTTTTGTTGCGAAGTTTTGACCCATTCAAGTGACCCATTCATTGATTGACCCATTCATACTGGTAGTCAAAAATTATTGGATAAGAATCGCGCTTCATACGTTTTGCTTTTTGCTTGATCCATTCTATATTCTAGAATAAGATGACACCACATTTTTTTAGGAGTCTGCTCCGCAAGCATAAAATCTGTTGTACTCAAATCCATATGACGCCGTTATTTCTTTGGTTTTTGCAATTTCGCATTAGTAACTTGCCAAAGGCCACATTTACCGCCGAAATGTTTTGTCATGTTCAAAATGATACTGTTTTCTTTAAGAATTGCTTGAGCTTCATACCGAAATTGGTGATTCTTTTATCTGACTGATTTTTCATGTATAGCCTTCTTCAAAGTCTGAAGTCGTCGAATGCATTAGTGATCTATACGTCGAAAGTCGCATTAGGACTACTCAAAAGTGAGTTGATGTTACCCAATGGCATACCTAAGATCTGTTGTCGTTGTATCATAGTGACATTCGTACAATAGGAGTGTAGTATAATGGATCCCAAAACATTATGTGATAAATCTGTGTAAGGTTTACTTGGCAAGGAAGTTCACGAAAATGTCATGCAGATTATAATCAGACTCTAAATCCACTTATTGTGGTGCATAAGTTATGACCAAGGCAGACCCACCGAGGTGTGCCACGCCACGCCTGTGGGTCGTACTGGGGCGTCAGAGAAGGAAGGGGGTTGTCATCGAGTTGATAGTGATATAAGTGATGACATGGTGCTCGTTAAGGATATCAGACAAGTCCAATAATCAAAAAAAGGACGTTGAGGAATTTGACCTGTTACTACAGGTAACTAAAGTAACCACAAAGAAGCCTCTCCCAAAATGAATATTATTTTTTTAGCATGTCAAATGACTCCTGCAGACCAATTTTAGCACACTGTGGTTTTCAGATAATGAACCGCCTAAGCGAAGTGGTCATTTCGAACAAAGATAACTACTTCTTCTCGCACTCAATAAAGAGCAGTACTTCATCTCTGTCCATAAGGGAATTTCGAAAAAAAGCTATAATTGTTCTCTATCTCAAGAAACCGCCAAACTATGAAATTAGGAGCCAGCCAAACTCTTATGTGTCTCATTTGCTTTTATTGGTTGCGCTTATAACAACTACAATTTATAGTGAAAAAGACGCATTGGGCTCAAATCAGTCAACGACATTTGAGCTATCATACATTTTTGCACCTCTCCTCGCAGTATACGTAATAGGGCAGATTTAGCATACTACCTTAGCCATTATTGCCATGAACAAGATGAAAAAATAGCTTTTTCTGAAAACGATTTCGGATGAACTTTCTATGAGGAGAAAAAGTTTAACGGTGTAGTGGTTAGCGATAAAATTTAGATATTTGATTGCTTTAACGGTAAGTTTATGGGTGCGGCACTAAAAATGTGTGACAGTCACTTTTGACATCGTGCTATAAACTGCTAACTCACCTTTATTCACCTTTAGAAAAAACGTTAGCGAATAAATAATAATACTAGGTTGGTTCATATTTGATGCACGCTTTCTAAACTTCGAAATAAAACAAAGTAGTCTTTCTAAAACATCCCTTTTGAGCATAAAATAAAAAGTAAACCTTTTACCTATACAAGCATACTTTTGTTTGATTGTACTTACCACGGAAAGAATTTCTGGTGCAAAAAATTGCCGAGAATTTTCTTGGAAAGAAAAAGCATAACTTACACTCAAAAATATTAGGTTGGCTAGAAAGTTCTTGCGTATACAAACAAAATTCAATAACTTTTCAATGACTAAACCTAAATTCACATTCTTCTTCTCTAAAAATATTAGAAGGCCTGCTCTCCAAGATGGATGTTTAAGCGCAAGATTTCATGAGCTAGTCCCCGAGAACGAAGCTCTCAAATATGGGACTTCAAAATTTGCAATCTTGAGTTCGGTGCCAGAAAATCGCAGAGTGTTGCTAGCTAGCCGAAAAAAATCTGTAAAAACTACTTACACTGCAGAAGTCCATAAGTTACTTTGGAAGGCTTTGATCTTCTACAGTGAAGCAAAAACAAAAAATTCGTGAAATAGTCATTTTGCGGAAAAAATCCACTCATTACCGCAGTTTTTCGGCAAAAACTATTTTTTACACCCCAAAAAACGTCGCAAAGTTCTAAATAGGCAATATGACTTATTTCTGGTTGCAAACTGTGTTTTTGTGGAAAAATTACATCGATAAGGGGATTTATCCTGTAAAATGACAAATTCCACAAATTTTTTGTTTTCGCATTCCCATGCGAGTTTGAAGCCTGCTAAAATAACGTATGGGCTTTTGCAGTGTAAGCAATTTTCACAGATTTTTTCGGCTAGCTAGCGGCACTCTGCGATTTTCTGGCACCAAACTCAAAATTGCAAATTTCAAAGTCCCATATTTGAGAGCTTCGTTCTCGGGGGCTAGCTCATGAAATCTTGCGCTTAAACATCCATCTTGGAGCGCAGGCCTTCTAATATTTTTAGGAAACAAGACTGTGATTTTAGGTTTAGTCATTGAAAAGTTATTGAATTTTGTTTGAATTACGCAAGAACTTTCTAGCCAACCTAATACTAGAATTAAGCATTTTTGCTTACTATATTGCCGATGGTCGATCAGTAATATGCGCGGGACGCTTTTACGAAAATTTTCTGTGAAAAAGTATTGTCAAGAAAGCAAAAGCACCATTTTTCTGTATTTTAAAAAGGCAGAAAGCTGTGTTTATTAGATTTCACCAACTTTTCCTTATTGAAAAACGTGAAAATTTTGCCTTTTTCTAACATTTGCAACTTGGTCAATTCACCTATACAAAGCAAAAATTGTGCAGAAGCTCTCACCTAAGTCTTTTGCTCAGAGGATTCAAGCAAACAGCGAAGTTGAGTTGAAGCTTCTCGGCTTAGTTTTTGATAAATTAGTATCGGCGAGCATTCTGCAGCACAAAACTTCGGGATTTTAACGGATATGTACAATTTTATACATTTTCCATGAAATTTAAAGCAAATAAAACTTTGAGTTATAAATCTTTATCTTCAAGGACTTTGAACTTTAGTTCGAACAAAGACTTCCGAAAGGACGTATATTGAGAAAGTAAAAGAAGTGGGCTTTCGGCCAACGCAAAAGTTTTCGAACAAAATCGGTTTGAGCTGGAAAACTAACTTTTGAAGGAAGGGGCACCAAAAACGTGCATCAGCCAATTTCAAGTGTATAAGCCGCATTTTTCGAATTTTCAAGCGAGCTGCTCAGACGCTTCGACGTATTTGAGATAGAATCTCTATGCAGCACGATTCTCTTAGGAAATACGCAGCACGATATATGGTCCTTTGGTTGTGCAGTCCTTTGGCGCGTTCGGGCTGGTCGATGTTAGAAAAAATTCCCGCGGCTTATATACCTGGAAACAGGGTAATTATGAAACAACCTAACATTAAGTTGAACCGAAGTTCTGTTTCACTGTTTTCAAATAATCGTAACTTCTATTATCGCAATGTTTTTGCACAGCTTTGATTTTGTTAGAAAGAAGTCTTGCACCTACTGGCGCCTTTGTTATGTCTATTAGACTAGTAGCAGAAATGGAGATGGGAAAAGAAATCACTCCAGGGTTCGGTGATTTGGAGCAAGCCCTTGAAAAATTAAAGCGCAGTAAGGTCCAAAACAGCCAGTGTAATAAGTCCTTAAGCTCCTCTTTCTAAACGAACAAAGTTTGTGCTGATCAGACTCTTCTTCGAAAAGCTATGATTTCCGAAGAAATGATTAAGATCAATTTACGACAATTGTCATTATCACAAATTTGTTGTCGCTTATAGGACAGAAAGCAAGCGATAACTCAGACAATTGCATCGGGAGGCTCGCGGGTGCTTGCTCGACCACCAATCATCCATGCCGCGAGCTGCCCGGTAAACCGATATTAGACCCAATAAGTCACCGCGGCACATCCTTTAAGTGCTCGTTAAGCGCCCTATAGTTGACCCGATTAGCCTGCTTGTAAGCCTAGGAAGTTCTTTTACCCTGCGTTTCACGAGGACGACTTGTGTGAAAATTGAGCAATTTGTTGGCTCATTATCGACATCTTCTAATGTCGTTGATAACATTCATCCAACTGCTGAAGTTTAGTTCGTAACCATAAGAACCCAACTCTGTCAGATAGGACCAAATCCAAGAAGCTATACCCAGCGCCATAAACTTTTGGGGTAACTCCGTCGCTGCGACGTACCTCACGCTGGTTGCGTTCTAACCTACAGCGTGTAAGAAGTGCGGCCTTTATAAGGCTTGCGGCCCGCCGAGTGAGGTGATTCGGCCGCGACTCTCCCGATGACCCCTTCCACATTTCAACTTTGGCCGCGGCGTGCGAGGCTGAAATTTTAAGGGCCGCGGCGCACCAAGCAACACGCTTTGCTTTGAGGCCGCGAACTTTCCGATGCAATTGTCTGAGAATAAGCAGGGCTCTGCACAAGGTGGCTTTCCGAAAAGCAAAAAACAAAGTCTCCCCCCCCCCCCCCGACTTTTTCAAAATTTCGTGAATCCCCTTTGACCCTTATCTCAAATATCCGAGCCGACTAAAAAAACATTACGTCAAAAAAAGCACAATCTCGGACCTACAAAAACGATATCTGTTTTGCTTTTTTGTCCCAAAAACGGTATCCAGCTTGCATATAAGTTACCTGTGGCGAGCCTTGCTAATAACTGACTACGCAAGTAAACGTGATCCTGTTAGCCCATTAGCCGAGCACAAGAACTTTTCCGGTTTTGACTACATACGGCAAAGACTTGACAAGGAGGGTGAAGATGACGAAGATTGCATTTTGATAATTTGATTCGGCAAAATGCTATCAGGACGCAAAAGTGATGAAGATAGAAATATGTACATATGTACACTACATCACGATATGGTTTGTTTAGTTCAAGTGGAATTTCCACTGGTGCACAACGGCTATTATTTATGCACTAACCATTATGAACGCGAGAATTGCGAAAGTCACCAAATGAACCAGATGAATGCGGAGGTCACCCTACTTGGGGGTATTATTTCACAAAGAAGACATGGAAACAGGCAACTTTTCAGCTTCTTATCACAGAACATTAGATGGGCACAATAAATCAATGAACCTACATTTTGTGGTGTTGGAACTGGCATGCACCTCTCTGCTTTTTCAAAATCATCTATAGTAAGTGGTGTAATTCAACTTCTTTCATGCGATTCCGAATAGTAATTTATGCAGAAAATGAAGAAAGCACGTTTTTGCAAGCCAAAGCAGCATTATTGCTTTTTCTATCACTCATCTAATATACAAACATTCATTCCGTCGAAAAAATCATTTAAGTTTGAATTTAAAATTTGTTGGAATGCTTTAAAGACATTGTATCCAATTGTATGCCATAATGTTTTCGCAAGAACGATAGAAGTGGGACACATAACAGCAATAATATAGCTGCACAAATTATAGGAGCTAGATATATGACAGTAGTTTCTTGCAAGAAGCTAGGGGCAGCACTGCCTGAAAATATGCATATGAAGAGCATTAAACTGTAAGTTACAAACTATCACCTTTTAATGCCCTATCACAAATAGTGTTGTCAATGTCTTTCATACAAAGTAGAAACTTTATGAGATAAGCTATTTCAGTGTTTTCTAGGCTTGCAGAGAACAATCTTGAATAAAAACGGGATGATTTATGCAAAGCAGGTAAACCACGTTGATCGCTGACTGTGAGTAAGGGCCATCCGCCCAGATGCCGACATCTTCTCCTCCATGTGAACCATAATCATGCGGAATAGCAGTGGGCTGCTGATAATTCCACGACCCTAAATTATCTCTATCTGTACCATACCCAAGGAAAGTCTTAATAGCTGACTTAGTTCTTTTTCATGTATCAAGACTTCTTTCACTTTAAAACTACCACGATAACCAGGACCGGTAGCAAATAACATAGCCGGTACAAAATATACTTCCTCCTTTGATTTAGCACTTTTAACGAAATCGTTCTCTTAAAAGCCAATCACTCACTCAACCCGAAACTGTAGAAAAAACAGTACCGAATAAGCTCGCCTCAACGGGGAGCCAACCTGGCAAGGTGAGAGCATGCCCGTGGTCTGCGGTGACAATGATCAACGTTTCGGAAGGATCAGTCATTTCTCTCGCCTATAAATTGCTCAAATATGCTCCCATGTCCACCGACACTGCTACATCCACAAAAAAATTGTAGAAGCCATGGCCAATTATTTCTAAAACAACCTTTTCCTCGGTCTGACTAAAAGGTTGCGAAAGATTTGGCACACACCATAGAAACATTCCAAAAACGTCAGCTAAAGTCCCTTCCCCCAAATCAATTTTTGTCCTTCACACCCCTCCCTTCTGAAGAAAACCCTATGATACCCACTCCTACGGTAAATATTAGGTCGTCTTGAAAGAGGTATCGCTTCTTTCAGCATTCGCAATAATTCGCAAAACAAAATTTTGTAAGAGATAGGAGTAACAATTGATGCAGTATCTCATGCTCTTTCAAATTGTTATATTTTTGCAGTTGAACTAAGGGGCTCTACATCGTTGGCAGAAGATAAAGCGAAGAGCAACTCGTCCTCTCTCACAGGTGAACAACAACAACAACGGGTTCTAGGTATTTTGTTTTTGATTTGTAAACTTTTAAGTTAAAATCATCATAAATCATGTTTTTAACGCGCCCAAGGTTGTAACCCGCAAAACACAAATTTGATACTGTACATGCGTACAGCTCATTTTTTCTAAGTTAGTGTTAAAGTCGGTTTCCTAACGTTTTAGTTCGCAATTCGCGATACTTGTCGAAACAACGACAATTTCAAATGTGATCAACAGACACTACTGATTAAATAATCTTTATTACAAAAGATTACTTGACACAAGGAAATATTATAGAACACAGAAGAAGTTAGACGAGAGCACCACCAAACTTGGTGAGTGCAACAGATGAGACTGAATAATCTAGGCTCAAATTGTAGACATGGACCACCTTAGTTAGGGCTCCGCCCCTCTCTATCTCTCAGACTCCGATCTCTCATCGGCGTCTGTCCCCTGGGTATATGTGGCCACACCCACTCCACTGGATCCAAATCGATCCCCAGAGAGCCTTTGGGCCACGCCCCTCTCTATCCATCAGACTCCGATCTCTCATCGGCGTCTGTCCCCGGGGTATGACAGTCGCGCTTCACTAATTAGAGCGGTTATTGATTGGCAATAACTCATGAATGAAGAAAACAGCCAAAAGAAGCACGCTCTAATTAGCATTCGTTATTGACTGCCAATAACTCATGATAGAAAACAATCTGCCAAAAGATGCACTAATACAACATGGGAGGTCCCCTCAGAACTAAGCGCTTCCACTGCGCTTAACAGCATAAAATAACTTCTCACCTCTGGAGAAATACTTTTCAAGTATCGTAAACAAAAAAAACTGTATGAGACTGAGCCCAGCTTCTCTGAACTCTCACATGCTTCCAGCAATTTTTTTTTACCATATTGCAGTCCGCAATATTACTTTCTTTGGCAAAAAAAACATGTGACTCCGATCTTTGCGACTTGGGGGGAAAACTGAACACTGAACTCCCAGGTTCGCCAGCAAAAAAAGAAAGGTACTACATGGAAACAATACAGTTGCAATGGCTAATGATTATAAACAAAGAAGAACTTGGTGACGACTAACAGGAAAAACACTAACAATGTGATCACTTAGAGATTCTTCAGAGCAGGAACTAGTTGCAGGATGATCCTTGTGGTGACTGGTCAAACATTGAAACATTGTCCTTCCAAACTGCATTTGTTCGAACATTCACGGTCCTTGTTTCGTTACGATGACATCCTGGCTTGCGTCCTAATCTTGATCTTTTGGGAGCATTTGCGCTGCAAATACATAGTTCTCCCATGGCTTTCGCAGGTGGGTCTAAACTAGGAGGGGTGAGTCGAACGGTCATACACCATCCATCAACATCATCAGCGAGGTTGATCCCTCCTACGGCATTTCCGCCAGGCTGACCTTCTCCACCTCTCTCGTTCCCTTGTTGGAAACGCTCTAACGACCCATTTGTACTTCTTCTACTACATTTAGAAGCTATGTGGCCAATCCTACCACACGAGAAACATCTCAGTGGGCCTTTATTTGGATTTCTAAAGCACTTTTGCGATGACGGTCTGCCTTCCTTGGGGCTCGCGTCTACCTTAGCACTATTGGCTCGGACGGTCCTGCACCATCCCTCAACATCATCAGCGGGGGTTATCCCTCCTACGGCATTGCTGCCACGCTGATCAGACCTTTCACCGCTTCCGCTCATGGTTCTACCACATTTTGAGGCTATGTGGCCAACCTCACCACACGAGAAACATCTCACTGCGCCTTTATCTGTATTTTCAAAGCACTTATTGCGGGTTGAGGGTCTGCCCCCCTCATATCTGGCCTTCTTGTGATAGTCACTCAACTTGCTGGTACGATCATGAAAGTCGTTCGTGTGCGTTGCCACATCTTCTTGAAGCTTTTCTAGCCTCCTGGCAACCTTCTTGACTGCCTCATACACCTTTCCTTCCGGTGCGTCTAACGCAGCAAGCATATGGTACGAAATCCTGCCAGCTTTCCAAGCATGAATACAACTTGGACCCGCGTATGAAGTCCCATTCGCAGCTAGGATGTATTCTCCTAGAGAGGTCTTCCATACGGCAGCAGAACTCTACCACACTCTCATCACTTCTTTTCGAAAGCGTGTCCCATTCTCTGATATTTTTCAAGCGATCGCAGGGATTCTTGCGTGCCAGCTCAAGTGCTCCCACTAAATCCTTGAAGCTACCTTCCCGCACACTTCGCGGTAAACTTCTATAAACCGCCTTGGCTGTGCCTTCCAAATGATTGATCAAGATATCTCTACGATCGGCATCCTGCCACACCGTTGGCGGGAATTTCACTTCCAAAGCTCGTAGGAAGTCGCTGAGGGAATTTTTCCCTGTGTAGCTGGGTACACTGGCAACACTCTGTGCCTTAAATACCTCTCTGAACATACTGAATATGTCTGCAGTAGCTCGCTCTGAGTGGTCATTGCCATTGTTACCGCTCATGACTGATACGGACTCACCGATCGTCGACGTTGGCGGAGAACTTCTCAAAGAGGTACTTGACGAACAGCGCGACATTCGCTGTCGACATTCACGCCATTCAGCGCCCTTTGCGTGACATCGGGGTGCATCGCGGAGGTTATCCTCAACGCTTAGCTTTTTGAGTGACCTGTACTGTTCACGCACAGCACGCCAACTCTCATCTCTACGACGTACATCGGGTCCCGTCGGAGTCTCCATAAACATAGGCTCTGCCTGAGAGGGTCCAGGCAAGGAATCTCCTAGATCCTGATGCCTTTTTATCCGTGCCAATAAGGCTTCTTCCCTCTTTGCGCTTCTTAAAGCTTCCAGCTTTACTTCAGAGCGCAGGACCTCTAGCCTATTCTCTAACTCTGTGACAATCTTTAATTTGCCTTCGATCACTGACTCTACGTCATCAAAATCACATCCGAGCCTAGCCCCTAACCTCACTACCATCTGGCTATGGGAACTGGCCATAGGTATATACTCAAGCAATTCCTCAACACTCATTTGGAATTTTTCACAAAGAGTGGAGTGCGAGTTACCTTCATGGCCCAAGTTCCCTTCGAGGTCAACTTGCAACCTCTCGCGCATCGAAATCATTATCTGATCTCGCTTCGAGCGTGAGAGATGCCTAATTTGGCTATCCAACAAATCCCCCATAAAAGTCAATATCCTATCGATTTGACTATCATTCACTTCCAGTGAATTCCAGTTACTCAACGAGTTGTCCTGGCTTGTGGGGATGTGTGGTGCTGGCGTGGCGTGTCCGCTTGTTTGGGGTTGCTCCATGAATGAATCCATTTTTGGAATTCCGCAACAACAAGAATCAGTCGTGTAAGTTGATCACCGGCTCGGCCCCCAAGTCGGTTTCCTAACGTTTTAGTTCGCAATTCGCGATACTTGTCGAAACAACGACAATTTCAAGTGTGATCAACAGACACTACTGATTAAATAATCTTTATTACAAAAGATTACTTGACACAAGGAAATATTATAGAACACAGAAGAAGTTAGACGAGAGCACCACCAAACTTGGTGAGTGCAACAGATGAGACTGAATAATCTAGGCTCAAATTGTAGACATGGACCACCTTAGTTAGGGCTCCGCCCCTCTCTATCTCTCAGACTCCGATCTCTCATCGGCGTCTGTCCCCTGGGTATATGTGGCCACACCCACTCCACTGGATCCAAATCGATCCCCAGAGAGCCTTTGGGCCACGCCCCTCTCTATCCCTCAGACTCCGATCTCTCATCGGCGTCTGTCCCCGGGGTATGACAGTCGCGCTTCACTAATTAGAGCGGTTATTGATTGGCAATAACTCATGAATGAAGAAAACAGCCACAAGAAGCACGCTCTAATTAGCATTCGTTATTGACTGCCAATAACTCATGATAGAAAACAATCTGCCAAAAGATGCACTAATACAACATTAATTCATTATTCGTTCTTTGGAGTTTTAAGGGGATTTATTGGTGTCTAATGAGTCTCTGTTTGAGATACGCTTGTTGAAATGCGGTGGTTTCAACGAGAATTCTTTAAAAAAATAAAGCCAGCATTGGAAAGGCGAAACGAACTGTTTTGTACTCTATAGGATTGGCTCTGTTCGTTAGATACTTGCATTTTCTCAGGAGTTGGCTTAACAATTCAAAAATAGCGGAACTTGACGTGGCAAATACCATGAGTCGTAAATGTCGGTAGTTCTCTAAAGGGCCGGGCATACACGCGATTTCAGTCGCGACGCGATTTGGCAATATTCCAACTGTACATAACATATTGTAAGCACATTCTAAGTGTATAGAAGATCGGGCAATTTAGCGAAACGCGTAGCTTATACACACTATGCATGTGCAATTTGCTAGCGTTGGATTTGTCGCGAGTGAACTCGCTTGAAGTATGCCCGGCCTTTAAGAGCTCGACGGTTCAGGGCAACACAGACATAACCCTTCAAAAGAGCACAAAACACTATGAATGCTACTACTGTCTCTTACAAACCCTTGTTTCTCGAAATGATGCGCTTGGTTAAAGAAGCGAAATTACAGGACAGCCTGATAAATACATCCGTATCAAAATTTGCTCTGAGGCAGAATATTCTCAGATCGCAATAAAGGTCGTCAGTGCTTCGTTCAAAGAAGTTCAAGAATTACATTTATGTTGGACCCCGCTAGACGTTCATTATATCCGATAAGCTTATACATTTTTGGATTAGTGCAAGCAATTTAGAGCAAATCTTTGGCTACATGGTACTCGTTTTAGATATGGGCCATGTTCATCAAGTCCTCAATAATTATTCAGTTAAGAAAAACTGCGGTTTTTCAATTATGGTTGCAGAAACAGTGTTTACTAGCAATAAAGTTTCAATTCGCAAAAAACTTCAAAAGCTTTCATGTTTTTGCTGCAGTTGTGTATTTCTTGACTTTGCCAAAAAACGGAACCTCCGAAGAATTGATTTTTCAAGGCTAAAAACAGCAGGTTAGGAGAATCTAGAAACACCACCGTATAGTCCGAGAATTGCTCTATCTGATTCTGACTTAAAGGCAGTGTCCCGGCAGAATTTGCACCTCCATCCTTTTGCATGTTTTAGGCCTTTTCGCCAAGTAGAATCCGAATTTGAGCTTTGAACGGGCTGAAAAGGCCGATTTTGGGGCGTTTTCTTAATTCCAGAAAAGCAGCCCGGACGAGATTTTTAATCGGGAGGTCCTCAGACGAAAACCCCGCTGGCTGTAATTCTTGCTTTGGATAGCACGCATCATGGAGGAGAGTGCTCGTGGGGTCTCGCGCCGAACAGAAAAGGAAGGCCGTCCAAGCGCGCGCCAGTTGGGCTTGCGCGCGCAGGTTCAAGGGCCATTTTCTCGGCCCAGGGGGAACATCACCCAGCCGGACTGCGCCTAGAGGTCGGTGGGATGACCAGGAACCCACCACATGTATATCCCCCCAGGACCCGAATCTGCCGGGACACTGCCTTTAACCCTTCCCGAAACTTTGGACTAGAGTTTTCAAAAATTAGCTTTACTTTGAGCAGATAAAAATGGCTGGCGAAGAATTGTGGCAATTATTAAAAAAGGATACGGGATCATGGTATGAAATGGTAACCATAAGAAAGAGAAGGAAAAGCTCCATCGAAAGCAAGTTAAAACTCGTTCAAGTTTTTATTGCGCGTGGTTTTATAGCCTTTTGAAATAACCGACAAAACTTTCGGGACAACCTAATGTAAACCATAAGCCTGTAGTTCATCGGCTTATACAACATATGCCTACGTACTACATGCCTGGCATACCTAACCCTTACCAGGATAAGCATGAAAGAGAACCACACGATTGAAAAATCATTAAAAAGCTTGATTATTTAGCCCATTGCTCATACTGAGTATAGCTCCGTCTACGGGGAAAAAAATACCAATGTACCTTTTGTATGCTGAGATCAAATTCGCGTACATCCCTGAATGCTGGATACAGGCGATTTACATGTTGTTCGACGTCGATTAATCCACCTATGCAAGTTGATAAGTCAACAGTTTTCCGAAGAGAGCGCTTACCTTCCACCATTAAGAAGAATCCATTTTCACCACTTTGTAGCTGTTTTATCGCTTTCACGGTCATCTCATACAGACGTGGGAGCGAGTGGTTGCTCGGTTCCCGAACATGCGAGTCGGCGAATAAGCCTGGGAGTGGAGACTCAAACATAAATGCGTACATTGCATACTCGCACACAGCGCACTTCGGTCCTACCCCTCGTCGAGATTTAAATAGTGGCACCCGTCGACATGTAAGAAAACCCGAGAGATAGCGAAATCTTTCGCGAGAGGTGAGTGCACCAATTGTTATGCTCCTAGTTAGATGCTGATGCTGTCTGTAGTTTTGCGCAACGTGATTATATCACATAATTCACCCTCGATTACATTCTGTATTCCTCAAAATGAAACCGCCTTGTTGCTGTTGGCGTTTCACTCTTCTAAAATGTTGTCATGTAGGGGAGTCCACTATAACTACCGAGCCCTAATCAGCATCGTCATTTCTGTTATCTCTTACAAAAATTCGTATTGTTTGCGTTTCCGCTTCTCATGTAGAGTAGCTGTGCTTCTAAAGCCCACTCAACTACTACACAAGTACAATGATCATGCTAGCAACCTTATTACGTCACCCTAAGGCCATTATTGAGAGGCTGTGGATGGATCGTGCACGAATGTTAATGGTTATCGTGGGCTGCCAGGATGTGACTTTTTGCAAGTGTGAAATATTTATTTTTGATTTTTTTATTTCATTCAATACTCGCTTGGCGTTCCCTACAAACAAAAAACATAGAGTGATTCATAAACTAACCACAAATAGATCATCATGTAGTTTTGGTCTCCTTTTGGACTAAATTGGTAAATGTAGTAATTCAGCTTGTTGTAACTGCTAGTTGACTACAAATTCAATTTTTGGATGTATGTGATCATGGAAACGGTACCTGTGCCCCTTTTACATGCAACAAAACGATCTTAGGATATTCTAGAGTAAACGACATATTGATGGTGGATTTACTGTCACCAAGCCAGTTTACCGGGGAAGAGTAATGACTCTAAGTGAATAGCAAGAATATTAGAAAGGTGATTCAAGTTATCGCCTTTTGTAACTCAAGATATGAAAATGATGTAAATGTTGTGTGATTGCTTCACATTCGCAGTTGCGTGAACCTTGAAACATTGATTTTAGGGTATATCAGAGGTTGTCTGAATTTCAATCACTCAGAAAAATGCTTCTTTTCTATTTGCGTGCATTTTCTTCACATCTCTTCAAGAAATTCCACCAATTTTGCTTTGTATTAGCTAAGCCCTGTTCCTCCCTGGTCATTGGTATTCTCACTTTTACAACTCCCATAGCCACAACAATGAGCTCTATCATCTGTTTCTGCTGCTAAGGCTGGTTCTTACTAATCCGGATGTTCCAAAGCAGTTCCAGCACAATTCTCCCACTGTGCTGGAGCTCTTCCGGAACTGTGCTGATGGGCTGCAGCCTCACATGCAATTTTGAGCGCGGAATTTGGAGAATTTTGAACATCTTAACGGTTTTTCTTCCAGGTTTCTGGAAGAAAAAAAGTTAAGATTTTTATTTTGGCCTAATTCCTCTACCGCGCTCCCCCCTTTTGATCAGCATAACTGTGGACCTGAAGCGGGTAAAAATTGAGCACTCTTCTGCTCTGCGTTCCCAACAAAATGTGTATTCTTGCACTCGTCCATTCTCTCGTTATATTTTCATAACTATTCCCTTTGTTCCAAGAAGCCGCTGCGTAGTTTTCGTAAGCTAAATTTGTCTCAAATAAGAACATGCGGACAATTATGGAAATGCGGACATTTTGGACTTTTCTCTTGTTTCCTGATGAGTTTCGTTTTTGGGCATTCTCGGTCCCTTTCCTCTTCCTATATTGTTGCCTATTCTTTCTTTCTTCTACCCGCTTTCGCTTTTGACGAGTACAGCTTTGAACTTGGAACGAGGTTGAGGAGTGAACGTTGTTCTGCTCCATGTAACCGTAAAGATGGGTCATCGTGCTTTTGTCCATTCTCGCTACTTTATTTTTGTTCAGACGTACTTCATGTGTTCCGGGAAGCCGCTGCGTAGTTTCGCATCTGTTTGGGAAGGGGAATGACAGGTTTCTAGAACACTTGAAATAGGCCTGAACAAAAGTAACGGAGAGAATGGACGAGCGCAAGAAGAGCCATCTGTCGGGATACATGAAAGAACAACGTTATTTCTTCAACCATCCTTCAACCTCTCAACTTTTCTTATCGCAAAGAGAAGCGGGGTAGAAGAAAACATTGATAAGCAACGATCTGAGAAAAAAGGGGTTGAAAATGCCCAAAAACTCATCAAAAAATGAGAGGAAAGTTCCAATAGTCGCATTCTCCGAATTGTTCGCATGCCCTTGTTCAAAACAGATGCCCTGAGGAAACTACGCAGCGACTTCATGGAACAAATGTAAGTCAGAGCAAGAATAAAACGAAGTGAGAATGGACGTGGGCAAGAACACACATTTTGCCGCATACGCAGAGCAAAGGAGCGCCCATTCTTTAAACCCGCTTATAGTTCGGAGTTCTGTTGCTCAAAAGGGAGGCAGGGTGGAAGTATAAAACCAAGATGAGAGAAACCTGGAAGAAATACCGTTAAATACGCCAAAATTCTCCAACTCCTTCCGTTTGAAAATGCATGCGGCGGATGTAGCGCATGCAGCACAGTGCGAGAATAGTGCTGGAAGCGCTCGAAACATCCGGATCGGCATGACCGAGTTGCTCGCGTAATTTTTGAAGGCGCAGCATTGCGCTCCAAATCTCAGAGAACAAAGGTATGCGTTAACACCTGCTTTGAGAAGTCTTACGCGCATAGTATTTCTCAGTGCCTTAACAAGGATCCTGGAAACTAAAGACAATTAAAACTTCCTTGCAGGGATAAAACAATGGAGCACACGGTATGCTGCGTCATTATTGCTGTACACAGGTGTCACCCTTTTCACGATCATTTTTTGTCGTCGAAGCACAACTGATCAAAAAGAGAAGAAGATAACAGGTTAGCTGGACTAGAAAGATTCGCCAATTACACTGTCTCTCGTGTCTCGTAATACGTTACTCATCGTAACATTTTCTTGACTCCCTTGAACAATGCCTTAGCTCGCACAAACCTAGCAATTTCTCGTCCTCTGACACCACCTCATGTAAGTCTTCTACAGACAGCATTACTCGTCTTTTTCCGCCCAAGTTACTCCACTCGATGTCAATATCTCGTCCGTCTTTCCGTTTTCCTCCATTACTTGTACTTCTGAGGTTGCTCTTACCTCCACCCATTAGCACCTGCAATATTCAACTTGGAAGACGATCGGGCTGCCCAGGAGTATTGTCGGGTTATGTCTAACTCAATATGCGTTGCATTGCGCGTCACCTAACGACATGTAAGAAGAACCAACCTGTTACCCTAATTTTACGCGTGTAATATGCACCTTTTTCGGTTCAAGCGTGCCGCTCAGCCGCCTCGTTGTGTTCTAGAAAACGAGACTTATGACGAGGCGCGCGATACTCTCAGGCGATATGCAGCAGAACATAGCTTTTAGGTCGCGAAGTCCTTCGACGTGCCTGTGCTGTTCGATTTGAAAAAAGGCGCTCGTACGTCCTATACTCGTGAAACTAGGGTAATATCTAGGTACAGTCGAGTAGATTTTTCGCTTTATATAGCATGCTTGCACTGAAGGTGAAATGCGGTAAAATTTGCGCGTAAAGAAATAGCTACGCCCTTGACGCCGGCCATTTTCGCGCGCAAAATGTTGGCATGACTGGCGTGGCTACTTGTTCACGCGCAAATTTTACCGCATTTCACCTTCAGTCAACCACACTATAGTAAGCGGAAAATCTACTCCACTGTATTTCTCTTTGCTTTCTTGTGTCTTGATTTGATTGGGATGTGTATCGGTCTAGTATTCATTTCAAGTTTTTGTCACTAGGAAAGATTTTATCAAGGAATTACTAATAACTATGTCGTAGGCTGCCGCGCTTAGTCTGCGGACTCACAAATCAACTTAAAAATAACCCAAGAATAGTCACTTGCTACTATTCGTCAATTCTTTGGTTCTCATTATACTAAGCAGCGAGCATGAACGGTTACTTCTTCAGAAGTATCCAATATTAGCCAGCGACAGGTATATTCCGCGAGCCAGGGTTGGCTAGCAAACGGGACCGGAGCGAACACACGAAGCCAAAAGATACCTATACTGCCTCCCCTCCTCCCCCCCCCCCCCCAATCCCACCATTTTAAGGTGATAAGGACGGACAGGGAGGTATTATGCCTCTTAAGTTCGTCTATTGACTGGAATGCAGAATTATATGGTCGTTCCAAATTTCGTACTATTTCTCGAAGTGATAGTAAAACGGTAAAAGATAATGAAAATGTAAACGAGAGAGGCAGCATTTCTTTTTCTTCGCATTAATTATTTTTCAAGATGGTATAGTTAGAAATAAACAATGCAAAAGCTTCTAATCCCTCTTTTTCACCATGTCCAAGCTCATTTCAAGATCAGTACAGGCCCTCAAGAAAAATTTAGTAACAAACAACAACAGCAAACATATCCCAATGCAAGCCTTTTTTCCAACTTCTGTAGCTTTTGAAAATTTTACGAAACAAAATTTCCAACAAATAATTGCAATCAACAAATAATTTTTGAAATCGAAGGAACACTCGATTGCATGAATCGCATTCAACCATTCATGCATTATGTCAAGAAATGGGGGCAACACTTCAAACGACGGTAATCCTTTTGATTTTCAATTACATTTTTCACACATTCTTGATATATACAAGTCCTATGTGCTCTATACAGTAACCGCACTTGCCGCGCCGGTATTTTCTGTAGTTATCAGCGCGATCTATCTGAGCAAATGCTCAGCAAGTGCAAAAACATACAAAGGAAATGGAAACATTAACCCAAGATTCTCAGTTACAAGCCTTTATCCGCCGCTACGAGCGGCTGTTATAGTCTTCTTTCCCTTCAAACTTATTTCCAAGATCCCTTTCATAATCAAACTTCTAATCCGCTCTACCCACTTCCAAAGATTGTAATGTTAATGTAATGTCGTCGCGTTACTTGATAACATCACAACACAAAAAACAGGAATCAAATAACCTTTTTCAGAAAAATGGCTGAAGGTCCACAACAAGACGAGCTTGATGATGAGGAAATGGAACAGCAGCAACAAGAACAAGAGCAAACGGAACATGAAGCAAGACCTCGCCAAAAACAACCAATGGAAGTAAATGTGAATGAAATCTTCGCGGAACCCGACCCACCAGCTCCAATTCCATGGCAAGAAATGCTGCCTTCAATTGAAAGGAAAATCCAGGAAATCGAAAGAAACCAAGACACGATTTTTGCAAGGATCAACAGACGTCTGGACTATCTAGTGGAAACGACGAACGAAATCGGCAATCGTCAACATCGTACGGAAAGGAGACAACGCGAAATGGAACCACGAGATAAATTTGGTGCAAACGCGGTACCGATGGAACCACCAGCACAAAGGCCCAGACAAGAGGAAAGGGAACCATCGTCGCAACCTGGACCAGTCGGTAACCAGCTAGGTAATCAGCCCGCCCCCCCCCCGTCTTGGGAACCCTGTAAGGCCCCCTAACGACTGTCTCTTTTGTAATGGGGAACACTGGGCAACCGAGTGTACGCAATACAGAACACTATCACAAAGACGGCCACGGGTAATGGAAACTAACAAGTGCGAAAGATGCTTGGGCAGGGCGACCATTTGGCAACGTCCTGCCCGGCAACTTCAAGTTTACTGTAGGCAAATAGGAAGGGGGAGGTAACCTCCCATCATTCAGCATTTTGTCCGGCAAGGTTTGAGTTTTGAAAGGAAATGAAAAGGAATTAAAAAAAAATTTTTTTTCTTTTCGCGAAAGCAATGCAATACAATCACAAGTTTGGTAACGCTTCACTTAAGGTAAAATTGATTGTGCTATGTTGTAGTATTCTCTTGTGAGGTAAACCTTCTCGCGTGCGATTGTCGATATAATTGTACCTTGTATTGTTTTCCTGTGAAGTAAAATTATATACTCGTGGTGCCTGGAAATACAATGATAGCAACTCTTACAATACTGTGTAGCATGTTGTACGCCTTTTATCCATTGTATTGCTATTGTTTTCTTTATAATTCGTTTTTTCATGTAACCCATTATCATGGCAAATTAGCAACAAAATTAACGCTATTTGAGCAAAAAATGTTTTTCCCCAGTAACGAGGGATAAACAAACAAAATCAACAGTAAAAAATAGAAGGAAAGTAAGGAAAATTACTTGAAAAAAAAGTTTTTTTCCTTTTGTTCTCGTCGGAAGTGTCATGAATTGTTGAAATTCATGATTTCTGCATCACATCTCGTTATCGCAGCTTTCTCACAACATCGTTGTCGACGCCTCGCTCAGTACACGCTCTTAAGCAGTAGAAAGGACAAGGAGGACAGCCCCCTCCTGACAGACACCCAGTATCCTCCCCGAGGCAAAAGGAAATCTCCAGGACAGGTAAACATGGGTAACGGTAACAAAGGGAAAGCATGTAGTTATGTAGGTAACAATGTATTCCATTGTAGATGTGTGTAAACTATCTATGAATAAATTATTAACTGATGTGAAGAGAACCCAATAGTCTATCGGCCACAAGTCCGAACAAGTGTCCACTTTGGCGAAAATGCATCTGGCGTGTTCGTATCAAAAGCTGCGGAGCAGTCAGACATTGAAAGTCCTAAGACTCAATTATATGCGCACCAATCTATATATGAATAAATCTCGAAGTCTGTGAGGATGTTCGTTAGGTTGTTCGCTGTTATAAAAACTTTCGCCGTTGAACTGATTGAGCTAAAACTTTCAAAAACATATGTTTTTGACCACGTCGTAGGTTACTACTTGTGACAAATCACTGGACCGTTCTATTGATTCATTGATTTGTTTACACAAACCTATAAAAATGGAAACTTATTATATCAGTTAATCGTTTTTCCATATAAGCATGTAGGCAGGGACAGTAAGCCCATTTCAATCTCAGACCCCGGCCAGACTTCGCTCAAAAGCTCCCAAATTTCTCTAACTTCTCTTCACTCTCATCCCTCTTCACACGAGAAAGTGCAGAGACATTAGAGAAGTTTGGGCGCTTTTCAGCAAAGTCTGGCCGAGGTCGGGAAGATGTTTGAAGGGATTTATGCGCATGTTAAGTTTAGAAGCGTAAGCTCACACGTTCTGTTAGCTTAACTAACTTGCGTCTTGAGTGAGACTGGGGCCACCAGCTAGTTAATACCTATGTGCACGTCCGGCGCTTTTGAATATCGTAAGTTTGGGCAAAACCACGCGCAAGTTTCTGCCAAATATTGGAAGATGAACTGCATTGAGTGATATCTCAAGCGCTTATCGGCTGATATTTTGCAGGGTTTGAACGATCAAATGAAGAACTAGCTCACAACAAATTGATTATCAGTCTACAGGGCCACCTACAGATTCCTGAAAAGAGTATCGTGATGCGAAACTTTGCTGTCTGAATTTTAGTGAATCTATGATGATCTTTAGGATTGGAAATGTTGAATACAGGCAAAGCTTAGCATGAAAAACAGCTATAACAGCTTCAAGTAACAAACTAAGTAACAAACTTTCATACTAATTTGTGAACTCTTGTTCAAAGAGTCTTTGTCGATTTGACGTTCTTTCAAAAAGCTTGTAACCAAACACCTTGAATTTGTTTGCTGGATACGACAGGAGCTGTAGTGCAATGTCGACGATAGTGCAATTCGCAAATTCTTTTCCTGCATCATCAAACTCATATTTTCTGTGAACGCCCTTCAAAACACCAGTGGTCATCAACTTTTCACGATCAGTGCATAGCAACTTACCTTTGCATAAAGCGCAGCAGGAGTAGCATGGGTTACTCTTGTATTCGTGACGAAGCCAACTTCCATACCTCAAATAGATAAGATTTCGGACTGCCGTCAAAAATGTAACGCTATCACCTTTATCCAAAGCACCCTCGGCAATCCCGTCAGTGATCCACATTGTGTTATCGTTAGTACAAAAAGTCTTGGTACCTGGCTTCAAACCCAGTCTATGAGATTCCGCCTCAAAGAAGCAGCTCAGTGAAGCGAAGCGCACTATCAAAATACTGGAGCTTTGCTTTTTCCATCAAAGATATCGCTCACTTTTGCTTGAGACGTAGCAACTCTCAGCTACACGTCAACTCCAATCACTTATTTGGAAAAGTATTAAACAAATTTTTCCCTAGCGACGTATAATACAGTTTTTATTTTTATTTTTAGTCTTCATCTAGCCCGACAAGGTTGCATTTGAACGCTCAATGTTCGATAATGATAGCAAGAAGTGTTTACAAAGTAATCATTAAATTCCATTTAAGTGACTATAAAAATTCTGCATTGATCTTCGCCACCTTCATGTAACAAAATTCTCGAATTTGTCTGTGTGAGCGTCACTGAGAAAACCTTTGGAAACAACAGAATGCCATGTTGCTTGCTAATGTACACTGTATTCAAAGCCTTCAAGGCAACTGTTTGGGGAGGGAGCTTTGTTTTTTAGTACCCTGTTTTCTAGCCTCACTTGATTTACTCAAGTTTTAAGTAGTGCTTTAGTCCTTCCTTATACAGTGCTGGCCAAAAGGTTGCAGTCACTCCCAAATTTTGCTATATCTTACTTTGTTTTGCATAGAACGAATCCAGATCTTGATATTACGTACGAATCACACTGCTTAACACTATGTCAAAAGATCGTGCAGTTTCATGCACACAGAAGACGGCTGTGGCAAAAATGGCGAATGTGGTGAAATCTAGGTTGGTCAAAACTTGCAGCCACTTTCCGCTAAATGTCTTTGAAAAACTTGTCGCCATCCATTATCTCGGCTACAGATGCACCCCTAAGCCTTGAGATATGCAGTGCAACTAGCACTCATCAAACATCATGAAAGGAGATTTTACGGAGCGTGTTTGCTCGAACGCCAAATGACCACAAAAATTGAACAAATCATAAGGTTCTCGAGAAGCGATCAGTTGAGCCGTGCTCCCCAGTAAAGGTTGTACTATCTGGACGGTTAGTGGCGGCTTGCGAATGCAACAGAAAAAGAATGACCAGGCATGCTCCGAAGAGTTGGAGCGCCTTTCAGCTTACAAACTGGGCTCAGCGATCTAAAAAGTTCTCAAACTTGACGAGAACACTGCTTCCACATAGACAAGCACTTGCCCGAAACTCGCGGAGCTTTATTCGAAGCATGAATGCGCTACTGCAAGAGAAAACTTTTGCGATGTTCACATTAGGAAATGTTCGATTTCGATTACCAAAGCGAAATATCAGTTGTGAAATTCGCGCAAACTTTTCCGAAACAGTAACGCCTCCATGTTTCCAGTGAAACTCTGCAAAATTCGGATCAGTGCTTGTCTTTGCAGAAACAGTGGTCTCATCAAATTTGAGAACTTTTTAGACCGCTGAGCCCAATTTTTGGGTTGAAAGGTGCTCCGAATCTGAGTCGAGATGATGGTAGATTTTGAAGCCAACATAATGCTTTTACTGTCGCATTCGCTAGCAGCCAATAAAGGTCCAGATGGTGAAACCATTTCATAGGAGCACGAATCAGCTAATTACTTCTCGTCGATCTTATGATTAGTCCAATTTTTGTGGTCATTTGGCGTTCGAGAAAACATGCTCCGTAAAATCTCCTTTTTTGGTGTTTGATGAGTGCTAGTTGCACTGCATGTCTCAAGGCTTAGGGGTGCATGTGTAGCCGAGATAATGAATAATGACAAGTTCTTTCAAAGACATTTAGCGGAAAGTGGCTGCAAATTTTGACCAACTTCGATCTTACCACATTCGCCATTTTGGCCACAGCCCTCTTCTGTGTGCATGAAACTGCATGATCTTTCGAAATAGTATTAAGCAGTATGATTTGCACGTAATATCAAGATTTGGATTCGTTTTATGCAAAACAGATAAGATATAGCAGAATTGGGATTGGAGTGGCTGCAACCTTTTGATCAGCACTGTATTTGGGTAACGTTCATATTAACAATTACCGTAGAGTCATTCTGTTATCATATCTCCTGTGAATCTGATTTGCTAAGTCAAGCGAAACTATAATAGAACGGTGAAGTGATGCTAAAAATGAAATTGAAACGTAGGGCTGATGTCCATACTCACAGAAGTTTCGTTTTCACCACTTTTGTCTTAGAGCAAGTATGTACGGTCGACAAAAACGTCTTCATACGCACTAAGTTCTATCATTTGTGGGAAATGTCAGAATTTAGGAAGAACTAAAAGTGATCCATTATTATTTATTATGCACCAATTGTTTAGTATTGCTATGCTAAAACAACTCCAAATTAGATGAGTCTATAACCCTTCGGAATAGCTATTTATTTAGATAGAATTGCATTATGTTTGTTCTTGTTCAAAATCTGTGTTAATCGCAGAACGAGCTTGAACTGATAAACTATCATGTTGCCTTGAAAGTTTAGTTTTGCTTTTCTCCGCAGTAAGTCATACACCATTTGTCTATACCTGGGATGCAGGGTACCGTTCGATTAAGCAAAGCAAGCTCTGTAAAGGACCGGGCATACTTCACGCGATTTCACTCGCGACGCGATGTGATAATTCGTCAGAAGTCTTCACATTGAACATTAGCAAACCTCTAATGCATGCGTATAACTTACGTGGTTTGATAGCCCTATCATGTGTACCTTCAAAATGTGCTTACAGTGAGTTAAGGAAAGTTGGGATATTGCCAAATCGCTCGCTACTCCGCCTTTTTAGACATTCATACAGGATATCCCAAAAAAATGCACACTGTTTAATCGTCTATAACTTGCTTGCTTTGATGTCTTTAGCCGTGCTTTAAGTACGATTGTGTAGAGCGAGGTCCAACTCAGATATATAGTATCGAGCGAAATATCGATCGCTTCAATATTGTAGGATTACGGTAGGAACTGTGACAGATCAGACCATTGGAGGCCGTATTCTGCCTCGGAACAACAAAAATTAAAAATTCTTATACTATGGTGAAACCGCTGATTTCAAATATGAAACTTCCACTTTGCTGCGATGCTTCTCGCCTAAGATATCCCAGGTAATCCGTTATAACTGATCCCCCACCATTTGCCAGAAATGTGATTACACCGTGAAAAGAGCTGAAAGCAATTGTAAAAAGTTGTATAATGCTATCAGCCTGCGCGAAAATTTTTATTTGATTTTTCAGATTTTATGACATCAAAGCAAGGAAGTTAGACGATCAAATAGTGTGTACATTTTTTGGGACACCCTGTATATGCTGTATTTCTTTTTGGGCTAGGAACTGAAAAAACAAAAACAGTACATTACATTCTTAAGGAAAACGATCACAAATTTCTAGCTTTCTACAAGGGTTAGATTACGAGAAATATCGAATTCAGCTTTTCTGAGGTCCTTTGTCTTGAAGTATTTTTGGAAACTAGAGCTGCATATGCGGCTACTTCTTAAGCATAGTAGTATCCATTTATTTATTATAAACAGCGTCGTTTTGTCGAGAACCTGATAATTTCACTTTTCTCTTCCATTAGCACAAAATTGATAAAGCAACGGCAATGTCTTAGGTGGAGAGTTTATGCATGGGCGAGTTGGGGATCTGTAAGTTTATGTTGGACATACTTTCTCTTATTCAGGCATCAGGAATTTCTTAGATTTTGGGCTTTTAACTCGAGGTGTACTGGAGCTAAAATACTTAAACCATCTTATAGAGCTTGCTTTGCTCAATCAAAATGTAGCCTGCATCCAGATTAAATTCAAGAGTGTATGACCTACTGCGGTGAGAAGTCAAACTTGAAAAATCCATGAGAGTACCAAATAATTTGCTGCTCAAGGAGTAGGAACACGAGTTCGATTGGTATAAGAAATTCGTTGCTTACTAATCGGTGTCAATCACAAATAATGTCTTGCAGAGGACCTTCTGCTGTGACGCAAGCAACCATGTTACATTTTACATTTTCAGTTGTACTCAACGAGTGCTATGTCACCTTCGCAGAACATTAAACTCACTTTCCACCCCGTATAGAATGACACTGCACCAGCTGCTGAGTCCGTTACGTGATGATCTATGGAGCTTGTCTAAAAGGTGATATCTTAGGCGCTCATGGGCTTGCTCCATACCTTCGATAGTCAAGAGACAGAGCCTAGAAAGTGATAGTTGTTTGAGTTCTTGCCCCCTATAAAAAGTGAAGGTTGTTTTAGAAAAAATAGATGGAAATTTAGAGATCTGAATTAAACCAGGAAACTTGAAAAATTCATATAAAACAAAGGCTAACACATCACCAAATTTGAAACTTATCTTGGTGGTTTCCTACGCACATTTTTGTCTTCAGAATTGCCGGTTAAATTGGGTGGCAACAGGAACAAAGTTCTTTTCTAATTGAAAAATGCGCTAGCTGTGGCGGTAGTTGGGAGACCGAAAGAAGGCAAACTTGTCAACAACTGAACTGGACATGTTAAACTTGTCTGAAAAGTTATGCTGCACATCGACGCCAATCTGATTTTTGACGCGTCCTTTGAATTTTCACCCCCGCATGGTCGTTTCGTATCCTGCGACGTTGTCTGGATTCTTCCGCTCATCATTCTGAGCAAGTAACGTCCAAGCTGGAGAAAATTCGTTGCAAAAGCATTGAAAAAGAACAAGGTAAAGAAAAACGCACTTTTTGGTAATTTTTACAAAAAACTCGGCATAAGCAAAGAAGTAAGCTCGGCGACGTTGTCTACATCATAGACAGAAACAAGACCTATCGAATACACAAAAAAACCGAGTGAAAAGAGTTGAACTGAAGAAAAAACAAGAGGTTTTCGAAAACTCCGTTTTTCCTATATTTCTCGTTTAAATCATAAAAAGGAGTCTTGCGACGTTGTCAGCGTGAAAATAGAGATTAAGAGCTTTAATATGATATATAGATTGTCGAAATTGGGCTCCCAACAACGAAGAAAAGGGTACCAGAGCCAAATGCCCCGCGCCCCGCTTTTGGGGTAGCGAGGTAGCGCGCAAGTCGCGGAGACGCAGACGAGCAGCGGAGACAGACCAGAGCCGGCGGGGCATTTGGCTCTGGTCATTGATCTCCGCGGGATCATGACGAAACCCTGTAACATTATATACCGCTGTGATCCTCATGAGACGTCCAGGAGCACTGACAACGTCGCGGGTCTTGAAAATCACTCCATAACGAGATAGACCAGCATTTAAGTAGCGACTCTCTGCGCAAGATTTGAGCGCAGTTTCTCGTTTCTGTTGAACTCCAGCGGCTTTTATGAACTTCCAACGCTCAATCGAAGTCTAGAGAAAGATTAATCGAGAAATTTTGCTCCAGTTCCTCTTTAAATTTTTGAATAAAAGTCTTTTTGGCAAAAAAGGGCCATAAAAACGTAATCCTTTGGTTTTTTGAGTTTCTTTGTAATGTCACTACTATATTTACCTCATTCACATCTCTCCCTATATGGATATGTCATTAGTTATGCCATGAAATCCGGGGCTTCGCCCCGGATGACTTCCCTCTAGGTGAAGGTTGTGTTCTATCATGACGCTCAAAGTGAAGGTCACCAGAGTACGTGGCTCTATGTATCGAAGGTATGGCTTGCTCCTGCTCATCCCGAAAGCAAGATGTAAATCGCACCTTTACAAGTCCTACAGCGTCGAAGTTCTCGAAAAACATCGATTTAGTGAGATATCCATGGTTTGATGCTTGATTATTATGTATTCTTGCACTTGTCAACGTTGAAATACCCAACCCATCTCCAATAAACAAAATCACATTTTTCGGCTTCTTTTCTACAAACACACAAACACATCGACGTGCCCTAGCGTCACTCTGGTTGTAATCGGTTGATCTTTTTACAATCCCAAAACGTACAACATTACAGTAATGTTGATTACCAACCTCTTAATATATACGGATATCTTTTCAACTTTCGTTCCACATTTTCTTTCCCAATGCGGTTCCAGAAGTTGACGTCCTTGTCTTGAAAGTGTGAGCAATCGACTAAGCATTCTCGGTCTAGTATCAATCTCAGACTGCGCGAGGTACTCGTACGCACGTATGCTTGCGTAGACAAATTTTTTGTTGTAATATTATCGACTGGGATGAACGGTGATTCATCAGGTGTGCCAACAAAATTTGAAACAATGTTCTGCCTGTCTCTTTTCCGTTTTTTGTATGTTTCAAGCAGTAAGTGCATGCAAAGATTTGGTTTTGATCTGCACTTAACATAATAGCAATACTTCATTGTACTGTACTGTCAAAGTTCTTATTGTCGCTCAAACTTGATATGGTGAACTTATCTGTTGCGGCTTGTTGAACTGTACACCGAAGTTAGTAATTCATACTCGACTAACGTTCGGCTATCTTTTTTCAAATCCTAAGTTGGGTGCATAAGCAACCTATACCATCAAAAACAATAGGACCCCACGTGTGCTAGTAGAACAGGATCTCAAAAGGGTATGCAGGATAAGATTAATGCTTATCTAAGCAGATGCTGACAAAGTAGTGTTGCAGACCACTACACCAGCAACTGAGCTCTTGCTTAAGATATCTAGTAGCCTCGATTTGACCTTAGAAGGCACGGAGAACCAAACGGCGCCAGCTCGTTGGTAATATTTACCCACTATCCTTTCAGGATTCGAAATTCTGGAGCCAATCCAAAACGCCTCCGAACTTTGGCGCGTCAGGAGTTCAGACTTACACGTTAAAATCGTGACCTCTACGCATGTGTCAGGACTGCCATGAATGTGGCTGCTTGCCTGCCTAGCGAAGTGGCAGGTACGTACTAGCTCATTTGAAGTTTGTAGGCTGTATGTCAACCACCTTATCCTAATCCTTGAGTTCGCTTTCTGTACCAACCTTTTGACGTCTGCTTAGCTCCTAGACTTATGGTATGCAGAAAGGAATCTTTCACAATTTCCGCAATCGCCTTGTTCCGGACTGGCAAAGTTTTGCAGAAGGGTGCTTAGAGAACCTGTAACTGCTAAATCTAGCTATGCGGTCGGCTAGTCATAGAATAAACCGTTTGCATGTCTGAAGAGACCTAGAGCACTCTGTACATATTTTCGACTTTAGGTTTTATTAACTTGAGTGGAATGAGTTGAAGCGCGCGTTAGAACATTTGCTGCTGAGCTTATGAGACCACTGTTCGAGTGGTCTCATAAGTGGAATGTCGAGTGTACATCTCGACATTCAAGACCAGCAGCCAGTAGTAATGGAACTATACCCAATCGCCTACGTAGCGATGGTACAAAAGTTGTTTCAAGTACCGGAGATTCTATCTTCGACGTGAACACGACAGCAATGTCGGTGCTAAACGATAGGGGTGGGGGAACGAAGGCCACCAGTTTAAGCCGCCTTCGCGGACTATTCCTGCAACGACATGCAATAATATTGCAAAACGACCAGTTGGCCGCGAAAGGCGGCTCAAACTAAAGGGGCCTTTGTTCCCCTACCCAACGATAGCAATTCCTCTAGTCTACTTGTAACAGGACGTAACACAACAAGACTGTACAATGAAAACACTCTTTCAAAAGTAGCATGATTAGATATGAAGGCACGCACATTGAAAATAGCTCCTTCTATGCCTTTGTTTAACAAGGTTCAGACAGGCTTGAGAAATTCAATCCTGCAACTTCACCGGGCATGCACTGAAGATAGTTCCATAAGGGTACACACGCGACGTACGCAGCGTACGCACACGTACACAACGATGTGGGACGGACGCTGTGTACGCCGGGTACGCCACGCAGTCTGGCTTAACCTTTAACTTAACCTTTACCGAAACTTCTTTAATGCATGCCCAGCGGAGTTGCAGGGCTTGATTTTTTGAGCTCTAGGCGTTTTTTGAGACTCATAGCCAGAACGCGTGGAGAAACAATTTTAGCGTATGAATCGGAAATTCTGGCTCGTACAACCTTGGAGGTTAGAAACCCAAGTGAGGTTAGATCAAAAGATACTCAGACACTCGCGGTTGAGTCGCGCAGGAAATTCGCCCACAAAATGGACGTTCGCGCCAAAATCGGTGCACCGGCGGGAGTTATCATTTTAGTTTCGTCCAGATTTTTTGGTGCAATTTTGTCCCGAAGTGCACTACGCGCGTACTTCATAATGAAGGTTTTAAAAGTTGCGAAATTGCCGTTTTTTTGTTGATTGATTTCTGCTGATTAGTGCTCTTTTTTCACGTTTTTGCTTTCTCCTTTCTTTAACATTGTTTATAATCGCTTACTGACATCATTCAGATTTTCTACATCATAGGCTGGTATTATTTAGTATTATTTACAGACGACTGTCATCTTTCTCATAGATGGCGTTCTTTACCTGGACATGTCTATCCTTTCACTTTCACATTATTTTCATCGATAAATAGCATGACAAGCCTTAGCACACCTCTTTTTTGCAACAATAGTTTACGCTCTTTTATTTCAGATCAGGTCGAGTATCCAAAGTAGCAACTCAGTGAAGATCTCTGCGTTTTTGTTCGAAATCAAGTGGGTGCTCTTTTCATCTCTATTCGGACGTATTAGGACTTCTTTAACTCAGCAAATCTGCAGAATGCAATTTTCCAAACTTGAGTCTAAGTTTCTATTTATAGCGAGCTCTAGGGGATAAATAATGCCAAATTTGAGCAAAAAGTTCTAATCCAATCAATTCCGAAGACTAAATGCGATAAAAACATTTAATTCGTGGCGTAAATCTCGATCCGAAGTGGCTATTTCCGCGTTTGCAATTTGAAATCTTGAAGGCAGCGTCCAGGCAAACCTGAACCTATGGTGCTCTCACGTGGAAAGTAATCTTGAGGTCCTAAATAAGACTGCCCAGACGGCAGCTCAGATAGTGCACTCACGGCTAAGATATTGGCCTCCAGACTATGCCCCGTGATCGTATTCGCATGGGTTCATGGCGCTTTCGCGCGAGGACCCACGCGAAACCCATGTGCTGAGCCATGAATCCATGCGAATACGATCACGGGGCCTAGCCTGGAGGCCAATATCTTAGCCGTGAGTGCACTATCCGAACTGCCGCTTGAGCAGCGTCTCATTTAGAGCCACAAGATTACTTTTCACGTGAGGGCCCTAGATCCATATTTGCCTGGACGCTGCCTAAGCATGTGATTGTGATGATCGGTAACGATCTCATATATGATATTGAGTGTGCAAACCGAAATTTCTAACAAAAAAAATTATATCCATAATGTATCATCCATCTATCTATATCCATATATCTATCTATCTATATCCATACATTTGAAATCAGCTTCAAACGCTGATTTCAATACGCTGTTCCTAACTGCGGCGCATTATTTTGAGATTATGAGCTTCTTTCTGTGCGAAATTACCATACTTTTCCATAAGGTAAGGCTGCCTGTAGATGGAAATCTGCCTGAAAACGGTGCTCGGATGCTGGAACTGTATTAGATTGAGCCTTTTGTAATTGACAAGAGACTTTAGGCAGTCAACCATCACTTAGGTGATGATACCGTAATGCCAGTAGGTCAAAGAGTAGGCAAATTTTGCACAGAAGAAACTTAATAATTCCGGTGGGCCTACATGTTTTTGTTCCAAGAGGCACTATTACAGCAGTTTTTTACTGATTAAATGCGATATACGAGACACAATTTGACTTATTCAGCAAAAAAACTTTTGAACTGTAATTTTGCAGCGCAGACATCCGCACTCACCATTTTGACCTCGAAAGAGCCTCCTTCTTTCGTCAGAGGTGATTTAGTTGTTTCATACATATGATTACTAGAATTAATAGCTTTTGATTCTCAGAAAAAGCGTGTCGTTATCGGAAGTATCGATGGCAGCAGTATTAAGAAGAAAGACTTAGTGACTGAGAATACTGAATGCTCTGAAGAGGAAGTTGAAGACATTGAGGAAGCCTGAAGCTATTGTCCACATTTTTGTTGTAGTTGTTTCACACTTTGTGTCGTAGTTATGGTGCTCCGAATCTTATACTTGCTGCTATCTGTGCACATTTCGATATTATTGTAAAGCCTGCTCGAGAAGATCATGTGGTATTTGTTAATATATTTCATGACTTAAGATTAGGATTTACTAGCAGAAAAGTAACAAGCGTGAAAAATGGAGCCCAAGAGACCGAGGGCTCAAGGTAGGTGAAAAGGGAGGCGTGAGAGGGGGCACAGACTTCCAAAAACTGTTAATAAGAGCGTAGCCGCGTGCTCTGAACGCGATCGGGACATTATGGTGTTTCCCACAGGTGTTCCGATTTTGTCCGGAATGTGTCCGTCGGGACACCTAATTTTGTCGCGCACTTTTGTCGCGGAACAAAATCAGGTGTCCTGATTTTGTTCCGACACCAATTTTGGGAATCGCGCAGTCATTCCGTGACGACACCTCGTTTTGTCCTGCGCGCAGAGCTCATTTACTTATACATCGTGCTGCAACACCACTATTTCAGATTTGTTCATTTAGGCAGTAGTTAAACCCTGCATATACTTTTGAGTTCTGGTTTTATTAACCATTTGGCATGCCTGAGTTTGAGACGGTTTGAGTAGGATAGGTTGCTCATGCATTCAACTTTAGACTCCGAAGAAAGTGGATACCTGAAACATTAGTCGAATACAAGATTACCAATCACAGCCTACATTTGAACAAGCCACACAAACACTCTATTGTGTTCTTGGCATTTCGAAAATGATTCATTACATCACACTCCGAACAGAACGCGCTATGTAAAACGAAAGCTTCTCATGAACTTCCTTACCTTCATTCACTTGTAGAGCAACAGGGATCAACTGTAGTACGCAAATCAATCTTTTCATCTTATCAGAGGTAGTGATCACGATGCTAAAACAATAGAAGATTTACAGATCAACACGTTAGATGGGTGGTTGGCTCAGTGGTCAGCTACAGCACTGGCCGAAACAATAAACAGTTAGGTTAACTCTAAGTATGGTGTAATGCACACGGCTTTGGTTTCAAAGATTGGTACAACTACTGTCAATAAGTGCCTCATTTCCTTCTAATTACCTAAGAAAACACCAGAATTTTCAATAAATAAAGCTGTCTCAAAGGCAGTGTCCGGGCAAAAAGTCGATTTTGAGATTTTGTGCTTACCTGGGTCTATTCACTATGCTGAATCCCAAAATCACATTGGAAAGCTCAAAACGGCAAAAAAAGGCTCTGACGCAGGAGGGAAATCGAAAGTGGGCGGGGTCCTCCCCACTGTAAATTTCGCAGTCCCAGCTTCTGGAGCGATCTTCCCACCTCTAGCGCCCTGAGATCTCCACCAGCCAGGTGCGAATGCATGACTTGAACTCGGAACCGGGAAGATCGCTCTGGAAGCTAAGAGCGTGAATTCACAGTGGGGAGGATCCCGCCCACCTGCTGATTTTCCTCCCGTGTTAGAGTCGTTTTTCGCCGTTTTCGCCCTCTCCAATGTGCATTTTCGAATTCAGCGTAGCGAATAGGTCCGGGTAAGTAAAAATTCTCAAGATCAAGTTTTTGCCCGGACACTGCCTTCAAAGGCTTAGGTCCACTTAAATTTCTATTCACCAGTTTATTAGTGCCAAAGTTATCACATAAATATTAGTCAAAAGTGTGAAACATTTGTAAGTGGGACGGTGCCATACCTTCAAAAAATGTTCATCTGCTTTTTATCTCTCTTTTTTGATTGTAAACATGATCGTTACTTTTGTGAAAGTATGGCATGGCTCGACTAGGGCTATACTTTGAGCTTGTATTGACATAAATACTTCAGACGCCATGAACTGGCAAGTAGATTTTGGTCGGATTAATGATTCTGCCAACCTCCAGCCCTGCTTTCAATTTGGTTTTTCTTAAGTTACGAAATCGAATTCATTCGCTTTACTGAAGTTTCGACCGCGTGGACCATCGTGCAACGTCGTCAACAGAAAACTGGCCGTTGCGCAGCATCGCAGTCATCGTTAATCTGTGAGTTGGCAAATACTCAAGCATACGACATGGCTCTTCAAGGAAACGATGCTTGGTGACCCCGGCCATGTGGAATGCGATGTATACCATAAGGTGCATCTCGAAACGCGGATCCCAAATCTGTACTCGAAATCTGCGAAACGATCATTTAAAGGCAGTTATGAACTTTTTTTTCGTAGAAAATTTACATACGTTTAGGTAGTTAAAATCACCCAATTTGATCTATTTTACCGTTTGAAGCTATTGAGGAAATCTTGAAAGGTGTAACGTTGTATCTATACCTACTTAAACAATATTCAGCATTTGAAGATGAAAGAAAAATTTTTATTAATGATTTTCACCCTTCGCCGTAGCGCAATTCATTTTTAAAAGAATAATCATAACTCCATCTAGATTCTTGCTTCGCAGATATGAAAACACTAATTGAACCAGCAAAGGCGCATTTTTAATATACAAATCATTATGAATGGCCGGGGTAACCAAGTATAGTTCCCTGCTTAGATGCCTACATCGAGGGAGAGGCACAATCTGGTCACCTGCTGCAGGTGCTTAGAAGTGTCTCGCAGAGTCGCAGCTGAACGATATCAAGGAATAAACTTCACGAAACGCTGGGACTAGAATCATTCGGTACGCGTTTGGAAAGCTGGGTTGTCTATAGCATATTCGGAAGGAGGGAAATTGATTTGGGAGAGAAGAAAAGATTTTATTGCACGGGATCGGTTTGCCTGGATACGAAGAGTGGGGAAGGTCCTGCGGCTCGCGTTTAATGCACAGAGTGGATCGAGTTTATATGTAGCAAGAGCGGCAGAGGCATATCCCAGTCTATAGCTACGACGTGGCGAGCATGTACAACGAAGCCCTGAGGAGTTTCAAGGTGAAAATGGCATAGGCTGAAAGAAGTCAAAGACGTAGATCCAGAACCGAATGTGCCGCTGCTTTGAAGAGGGATCGCCTCTTCCTGCATTACTAAAGTTCATGGCGATTCGACCAACTCGAGGACGCCTTAGAAGGACTGAAGCACTGCCGAACCCGGGTCATTACATGGCCGATGGACACATGGAAAGAAGAAAATGCTATCAGAGATGCATATTGGCATGCAGAAAACATCTCGAAAAAGAAGGAGAACTGCTATCAGTCTGACTACTAATAGTATGTCGCGAGGTGCTCATATGGAAAGTCTTTAGAACTTTGAACAATAACGACAATAACCACCTTAAAAGAATTTGGTAGCCCGAGCCGGCTGTACTTTTTAGCGTCACCCGTGTTGAAAATAGTAAATAGAAGAGGCGCGGCGCCTGAATGTTCCTTTCAGTTCTATGACACCTATTGCAGAGTAATCAAGCCAGACACTTATGCGAAGCCGTCAGAATGCGAGCACCGAAAGAACTCCCGCCGCCGCCGAGGTCGACGGCTTTCTGGAGGGGAGGGGTGTTGGAAGGCGCGACCGGAGGTTTTCAATACGGAGTTGGCGGGGAAGAAGAGGCGATTTGACCCTTTCAGCAGGGCATAAAAGGGGAAAAAAGGGAAGCCGCGAGCAGAAGAGTCTCGCGGGATCGAAAACTGATTAGGAGAGAGCCAGATCTCCCCCGGTCAGATAGGGACACTTTCCACCGCTTTTGTGTTATTTTTGTCATTTTGTTCGTTGTTGGTTTGGGGGCCGCAGTTGTTATGTTTTGCCATACGGATAAAATCTCATTTTCAATGTGTTCGTGTGCTCAGTTATCAAGGTTAAAACCCATACCATTAGACACTAGCTCTCAGTTACAAATTGCAAAGTATGGATTCCAGTCCGAAAAATGAGCAACAGTGCGGCCGCAGGATTTTCGGGGGAAGGGGGGAGGGCAAGAAGGTTTTTCAAATGAAGATGCGTGGCATTAGCCACGCACTCCAAAAAATTTTTTGAGGTGCTTCCGAAAATTGCGGGCCCATAGCCCCTAAAATCTAGAAAAAGGAGCGTGTCGGCAGCCACCCCGTAAAAAAAATTTTTACAAGACTAATTTGAATTTTTAAAGGCAGCGTCCGAGCAAAATTTCGAATGGTTTTTCGCTTACCCGGGCTTATTCCTCCCGCTGATTCTGAAAATGCGGCTTGGAGGGCACGAAAACGCCGAGAATAGGCTTTCCCTGAAGCTCTTACTTTAAATTTTGTCGCCTGCCGCCAAGGTTAAAACGCAGGGTCTATGTGGGACCCTACGTCTAGACTGTGTGCGGTATGCGCACTTTGACTTATCGAACTAACTCGTCCCTGTCGCCGGGGCGTTCCGGTCGCCACTTCTGAAGCGGATTTCCCACTTCAGAAGCAAATTGGTGCATTGCCAGTTGGGCAAGAGCCTTACCGGTACGGGCGCCCCTGTACTCTACATTTTCGTATCTGCCCGGACGCTGCCTTTAAAGAAGTTTAGAAATTTTGATTATTTACAAGGATAAACAAGTCACTCAACATTTTTATGACCCATGTAAGTAAATTTCAAAAGTTTCGCGACTCATTCTCGAAAGGGGGAGTGCGCCCCCCCCCCCCTCGGTCCGCCATTGAGAAATAGGTCTACGTTTTTCACAAATCGACGCCAAAAAGACTAATTGCGTAGAGTTGTCGATTCGATATATTAATGTCAGTTTTTCAGCCGATTTGTCGAGCTTTACCTAAGAATTTCAAAAGACTTGCTCAAAGATGTAACTCGCCGTTGTCTTCGTCCTCATGGCGACTATCAAGCCATAATAGCTCAGTAAATGACTCAAACTCACAATTTTTTGAAGGACACTTTTCTCCCCAAAAAATTTTAAGTTTGAAGTATTTGATCTTACATGGTGAGTTAGTAGTTTATAATTTATTCGTGCTGTTCGGCTCGGCGCGGTGAGTTTTGAAGCTTCATTATGCGAGCACGAGGAAGCATTTAGATAGTAGAACCAGTGCGAGGCTTCTGTGAAGCAGCGGTGACTTATTGAAACAGCATCTATAGTCGCCCTCCCCCCACTAGACACTTAGTGGACGAATTTGAATTTGAGCAGGAGCAAATGGCTAGCGTCAGGGCGCGGCAGACGCCGCCACGGTCAAAGTGTGCACCTATACTGTTTTTTCAATTCTCTTCGTGTTTCTTTGTTGTTACTCTTATTGCGGCAATGCATCATATCAGATTCGAGATTTTGCTACCGGTGATCGTTGTTCCATGCTGTTATTATCGTTTGCCTTTTTTCCAGGTAAAGCTGAAAATATACGCAGTGAAGACTAGGGGCTAGGAATTCACTTCCTCACAGAAGGATATACGTATGGCATGGATATTGCCATGAACAAGTATGTCGGACGCTTCATTCAAAAAACTCACCTATACTTCTTGAAAATATTCAGGTCTGAAAAAAAAAGTTTGGAGAGCACACTCAATTAGGAAATTGATTCATAATTCACGAAAGACGCTTGTGCATGTGTTTTTTTTACCGGAAAGGGCAATAAGCGACATTTCATCAAGAATCTTCAACTGCGTCGTAAGCCCATCTTTACCTGAAAAATGTGAGGCAAACGATAATGATAGCATGAAACAACGATCACCGGTAGCAAAATCTTGAATCTGATATGATGCATTGCCGCAAGAAGAGTAGCAACAAAGAAACACGAAGAGAAATGAAAAAAACAGCATATGCGCACACTTCGACAGTGGCGGCGTCTGCCGCGCTCTGACGCTAGCCATTGCTCCTGCTCAAATTCAAATTCGTCCACTGAGTGTCTAGTGGGGGGAGGACGACTATACAATGATCGCCGTCAAACGGGTCGCGAGTCCTGCAAGCGGTAGCCGCATACGTTCGATAGTCTAGAGACAGGGCGTCAGAAGTGAAGGTTGTTTGAACATCTAAAGTCATAAATAGTGAAGGTTGTTTAA